GGAACAAATAAATGTATATTCTAAATTCAGGATCACAAAATAACATAAAACAGCATTCCAGATATGAAAATCAAAGCGACCAACGTCATGCTCCAGGTAAATCAGAAACCCCAGTGTCTTTGAGATACAGCAGCTCAATAGCATTTTCCTGCATGAAGGACATGAAGCAGAGCCAAACAGAGAACCTTTTTTCACACCTGAGAATACGCAGAGCAGAACACACCGTCTCTAAAACTCCTCTGGCACCAATCATTGCGCTGAACACCAAAACATCTATAATTCAAAACACGATCCTCATATGCTCAATGTTAGCATTCAAAGGAAGCGTGGATATCTTCCAGGCTGTTATTTTATCAGTGACATCAATTTGTTGTTTTTGATAAATTCAAAGATTCCTCCTGGTCAAAAAGACACCAGAGTGACAGCAGAACAACTCAGTGCTGCAATAAACTGACCCCCAGTTTACATAATATAATAATAACAAGCACTAAACTGTATCTATCTATCCATATGACTTGGCTATAATGGGCTGATTTGGTCATAAGCATCTAGATGGAGGTTTGTGTCTCTTGAAATTTGAGTTGTTTGTCTTGTAAAATTCCTTTAGATGTAATTTGTTTAGGAACCGAGTTTAAAGAAATCAAACACAGAATTAGCAGGTAGGGAAAAAAGCAGTTCAGTAGGAAATGTTGAAAATCATCTTAAAGGAACAATTGATTCATTGGTTTATATAATCAGAACCACAATAAATACTCAATATTTGTAACTAAAACTGTAATAATCCAAATTTTAGGTTAACTTCATACTAACAGGTAAAGCTAACATGTTTTGTTTTTAATAAAAAAGGATTAAGGTAAACACAAATTGTATTTAATTGTGAATGAAGGGGGAATGAAACAGTGGTGTCAAAAGTACATACATTTGTTACTTACGTAGAAATATAGATAGTGCAGTTTAAAAACACTGGTAAAAGTTGAAGTATCAACTCAAGCAAAAGTAAAAAAGTATGCGCTCCAAAATCTACCTAAAGTATAAAAGTATAAAGTAACCTTAAAAAAAACAGCCAGATGCCACTATATGAATTGAAAGCTAGATTTTTCGACTATTTCGAAAAATTCTTTGAGATAGGGCCATGGATGAGGGAGGTCTTGTTGGTCTCCGTCTCCAGATACGCTCTCGCCTGTGTTCGACCTTTTAGACAATTCAATATCTTTTTCTGAATCCTTTAGCTAACCAATGAGTGTTTGCGTTATATGACTCATCCAATTACACTAGTTTTCACTATATGTTGATGGCGCCAATGATCTGCATTGGATGGCGCACATGACCTGAAATAAATATTTATAAACATTAAACATGAGCCAAGAGTAACGAGTAACGTTTGCTTTAAAAATGTAAGGAATAGAAAGTACAGATACTTGTGTGAAAACGTAACGAGTAGAAGTCAGAAATAGGAAGAAAAATAAGTAATGCAGTAAAGTATAGATACATAAAAAGTGTACTTAAGTACAGTAACGAAGTATTTGTACTTCGTTACTTGACACCTCTGGAAAGAAAACATCAAAATGTTTACGTGGATTAAATTAAAAGCATTTGAGGGAAGGTTAATCTTATCTGGATCAAATGATGGTTTTATAACAAACCCTTTAATATTCTATAGGCCAAACATTTGAATCTGAAAGTGTGGCACATTTGATAGTAAAATTTAAGTAGTGACATTGATATAAAAGGAAAATATAATACGATCAGCTTTTTTTTTATTTAAGGGAAACACATTCCAACTTTTTTTTTCTCTTTTATATTTTTTGTACTTTATACACTCTTTTCATATTGTCTGTGGTATTTTTTTTATCTTGCTTTCACTCTTTAACTCTGAATTTCCCTGAAGGAGTAATCCCAAGGGATAAATAAAGCTGAGTCTAAGTCTAATAACTCATTAATAAATCTTTATTATTATAAACTCCGAGTTAAAATGTTTATTAAAACATCATTTCATTCTAATTAGGGGGAAAAACAGCATAAATGGCAAAAAATAAAGAGATAAATAAGGGAAATTAAGCTTTAAAGTTCCTTTATATTATAAAATTGAGCATAAAGTTGAATTTTCTTTTGGAGAAATGTGTCAGGGTAACCAAACTGCTGCGACTAAATGGAGCTTAATCCTTTCCTCTTATTTACTGTGAAGTGAAAACTACTCGGCGCAGTCACCTTTTCAACTCTTTTAAATATTAATAATGGGGAAAGCAGATATAGTACAGTATGATTTAGCTGACGTATCCATTATCTTCCCAAAGAAAAAGGAAGTGAAATAGTGAATTTCACCTATTTTTAACAGAGAGGAAGCGCTAGCTCCAGGACGCATCCCGTCATTTCTTTTAGCAGTTGGAAACAGTCCCGCGAGCCGAACATCACTTACTTCTTCCAGGTCTCCTCCCGAAGGTTTCTCTGCGGTTCTCCGGCGGGAAGAAGCGGTTTATTGTCGGTTAGAGTCCGTTATATGAGGCTGAAGAGCTGAGAGTTGTTGAGAGTTTACGGAGCTCCTGTCTGTCCACCCCCCCACCAGCCTGTTCCTGCTTCCCCCTCTCCTCCTCCTCCTCCTCCTTCTCCACATCCAGCATTCCAACATGGCTGCCGCTCGGAGCGGCGCACACACCGAGAGGGAGGGACGCAGGAAAAGCCTGGCCTCAGGCACAGACTACAGCAGCATGAATGAATGGATGTGTTCATGTTTAAAGTCCTACTAGTGCTTTCTCTACTCAACTGAACTGTAACCGGAGACAATAAAAGGATTTAGCAGGAGAACTACAAAAAAGTACTTTATTACTTTTATTTTCATGAAACTAATGCGTTATGAATTAGTTTGTTTATTTTTTTAAAACATTTTTTTATCACCTACAACATTTACATCTTTGAAAGAGCAAAAATTTACTCCACTTCAGTGTTTAATCTTAATTCTTTGTAATTATGTTACATTTGATTATGCTAAGCCATTTATTAAAATAATAGCAGGTTATTTTTTGAATACGTTCAAAAGTCAATAATGTAAAAAGTAGGACTGGGTAGGTATTTTTGACTATATTCGGATGCTGAATTAAATATTTTTGTGGATTTTTCTTCTCTAAATCTTTTAAAGTTTGTACTAAGTCCCTCCCGGATTGATCAAAGGAGCGCTGGTAACCTTTATCAGAAGGGTCTACTGCGACATCTGGTGGAGATTTTATGTCATTACAGGTATTTAGATTTGACAGGTGACGAGCTATTTGAATACAAAAAAAGCTTTACACGCAGGTTGTTGTTGTTTTAGAATTATTATCATCATTTTTTTTTTTACAATAGAGTGCTAGAAACAGACAAGCAAAAATACAACTGACATAAATAACTTTGGGAATATATAATTTGTATTAAACAACTGAAAATTGTATAATAGTTCTATGGTGCTACAGAATAATAGTGCAAAATGTTGCAATATATATCCATTCCACCACTTTTTTTCAGAGCATTGTGCTCTAGAGTCTAGACTGCTTTGTCTGCACCAGGTCACCAGATAGTAACCTCCAACCTGTAGGTGTACTTATTTACTGTTTCTATCTGGTGGAGGAACCTAACTAGCATTGACCTTAATGTTATAACATATTTTAAGATGATAATCAGTCAAGGTAAAGTTTTAACTTTGTCATATTTTCACATGTGAACAGATTCATATTTTAATATTCAAAAAGAGTAATTCTAGATAGGGGCCAACTGGGTGCCAGTGCCGTGGGAGAGGTCCTGGCCCCTGCTGACATATTACAAAATCTGTTTCTTAGGATCATAGGCATTGGAATATAATCTGAACTCATTGGTCCCTTGGAACGATCTCATTTTTAATTTATATAGTTTAATAATTATTGCAAGAATATGGTGATGTCCTTTTGGCCTCAGCAATATTGAGATAGGATCATGTTTTCATCTGCTATATCAGGGGTCTTTATTTGGTGTAAAAATAACTGGTGCCTCTGTTCTAGAACCACTACAGCTTTGTTGCCTAATTTGTTTTACCAAAGTAGCATGAAATCCCTAAATCATTAACTATTAAATTAATGCAGTTCATAATCCTTCATTGCATGATGGTATTTGCCCCCCTGACTTAAGCAGGTTGGATCAATTTACCAATGGAATAGGATCATTTATGTTTACAATGAGAAAAAAACTCAATAATCTTATTTTATGTTCATTGTATCTAACTGATTTTAAGGGAGGGAAAACAAATTCCTTTGGCAGATCATCTGATTTAGCTGTTCAGATTAAGGGCAAATGCATCAATTTTAAGAAATTAGTTTAGTTCTAAAATTCCTTATGATATGTACTTATGGAAGAAACTTATAACTTATTCATCCTTTGGGTCCAATGAATACTTCACCAATCCAGTTCATTGAACAATCTTTTAGCCTTAAGCTGCAGCTGTGTTAAATATATGTCAAAAGTGTGCCTTGGTTTTGTGGCTTACTTAATACACTGAATTATGCGCTTTAATCCTGGACTTTCTTTTAGACTTAGACAGAATAATTTGTCATTTTGTACACACAAAATTCTAGACAATTTCATTTTTTTAAGTGAAGCCTTGAAAACTTAAAAATTACATAAAAACAGTAATATAAACAAATGACTGTATATTTGCAGTTGTAACATTTCAGTTTTATAAAGACAGACAGACACTGGTCAGCTCTTATAAATTTTGTCCACGTCACATAAGACTGAGAGGTCCATTTGAATAAAGTAAAAACCTGCAGTACTTTAAACATACAGAAGATGGCGACATTTCCTCATTTTAACACATCTCGCTGGTCAAGCACAGAACTTTTATTTTGACAGCTACTGAACAGGAAAATGATATTGCTGCAAGGTTTGACGAGCCAGCGGCAAACCATTGAGTGTTTCTGTAATTTTTGAATCGCAGCAAAGTGTCCCTGGATTTTTTTTAACAGCTTTATGACCGCGAGTTGGAGCTGTGTTAGCAAGCGAACCGAGCGCACCGAGCGCTGGAACCGAACCCATTGGAAATGATCGAGTAATATAAGGTCAGTCACAGATTAGAAGCTGACTTTGACTCATCACTCCCTTTATTTCTACCATAGTTGACATAATTATTCGTAGAAAGTTGTTTTTCTCGGGGTTTATATGCAGTGAATCATAAAGGCTTTACAGGGAGGAAAAATATTACCTCATTTCTACCTCTGGGTTTGGTTTTTGCCACAATTTATTTTTATTTCAGCCAAGTAAGCGATTTGACCGATAAAGCCTTAAGGTTTTTCAAACGACAAAGAGAACTAGACTTGCCAAAATCAGTTTCAGCGTTTATAAATGCGCACTTTTGTAAACTATGGGGGGAAAAATGTAAAAGTTTTAAACCCGAACAGAGGAATTGGCCAATTTTCCTGCTGTATTGGTCACCAACACAGGTCATAAAGTTTTTTATTTTTTTCCTCATTACCGCAAACGTTGGTCTGGTTTCTATTAAAACTGCATGTTTATGCCGCATGTTGCTGGTTTTAAGAGGACACCTTCTTCCTGTGTTACAAGGATTATAGCTTATTAGATCTTTTATGAGGTTCCTTAGAAGTCAGTTTAGAGTTTGGGGATGCTTACCATAAAACATGATTAGAGGATGTATTCATTATTGGATTTCTTTTTCTCTAATCATTCGTACAAAATAATCATAATAATTTTCAAGATAAATGTTTTTATTAATGTTCTTCCCATGAGGAATAGAAAAAAAACTTAAATATCTCATGTGGTGCTAATCAGGGTGTCATATGGGACTTTTAACCCCTTTTGTCACCAGTGTTATTTTTATATTTTGTGCTCGTGGAGAAAAAAAATAAATAAATAAAGCAAGCAAACCAAAAAACACTACCAATATATAAGATTTTTACATTCTATGTGTCCTATATAATTACCAATCAAAGCTGTACATCAAATTAAAGGCACAGTTTGTATTTGCATTAACTTAAAATAATGCATGTTAATTTTGATGCATTTTCTTTACTTTGCAAATGTCCAATATTTTCATTTTGCATAAATACTACATTTTTCCAGCAGAAAATTTCCTTTACCTGGATAGTAGTTTCTTATTTTGTTGATATAACCACATTTGCACTATTGAAAACTGCTCTTAATGAGGGATCCTCAGGGCTATAAATGACTCAGGTGCTTCTTTTCCATGATACTGCAGGCTTGTTTGTCAGAGGACAAAATGACCTGAAGGAATGAATGACAATGGTGAAAAGTCTGTGTTGAAATAAGGAATAGAAATAAAACAAAACAAAATAAAACAAAAAAAGAAGAGTGGAAACCAAAAGTGAAACATGAAAGACAGGAATGAAAGGAACGTTTAATAGATTGAAGGAGGGGAAATTATGGAAAAAAAAATGCAAAAGTTTTCTTCAATTAAATAGTATATATAATAAAAAAAAAAGTGGCTTTGCTGTAAATTCCTGTAAAATAAATTCAGCTATAGCATTTCTTATTTATATATATTTATTTTTGTTTTCTCGATGCTAATGTGATACTATTTAGAATCAAACATGCAGATGAAAAAAAAAAATTAAAGAGTAAAAATTTACACTCATTGGCATTAAGAATATGATAAAAACAAATACTGTACATTTTAAAATCTAGAGTAAGAGAAATTATTGTTATTAGAAGTAGATTAAAATAGACACAGAAGCAAGTAAAACTATTTTAATATAATTTCACACCAACACACTAATTCTATTTTATACATTTAAACAAACATGAAACTACATTGTATGAGTGTATTTTTCATTGCATTCAAGTATTTTTGACATCAAATTGTTGTTTTTGTTTAAATACTTGTGAATAATGCTCAGATCTCAAGTTATCTTTGAGACATTTGATTTTATTAACATATAAAACCTTTCCATTTTTGGTGTTCCGATCCCTGTTTGTGCAAGCCGACATTTCTGTATCTGATAGATTATAACCTCGATCAAAATAAACCCAAGATATCTGCTGCTTGTAGAACATTTGGGCTGTGTGAGTTTTGCCAAGATTCCATTGTGGCAGGACCGTACTGATGCTTGCATGCATGGATCTGCGTCCTAACTAAACCCTTTTAAAGCACTTTACCACCACCTAAAGGGCTGGCTTAAGGAAGGATGGTGCCTTATGCTATGCTCACATCGCACCCGGTGTGAACATAGCACGGTAAATGCGCCTGCTGCTTCATTTTTGATGCTGGTTAACATTAAGGTCAGATGCACCTCCTGAAGTCTGATAAAGTGTGTCCAGATGCATCTGATGCTTCCGCTGCTCCTGTATGCAATGGCAGAAAGCGGCTTTGCTATATTTGCTGTGATAAGCTCATAAAATGTAGTTTTAATATATTTTTAAGCGAGAAAGTCCAACTGAAATCGTTGTCTGGACAGTCGGTTTATCATCATTTCTTGAACTAGTATTTCTCTGTTGGAGCCGCTCAGATCCCCACATACCTGCGGTGCGCTATCACTGGGAGTCCCCATCGGTAGCTGCCTCAGGCCCGGGCGTCTCTGGGGGCTTTCCCCCACTGATTGTGGCAGCTGGAAGTAGATGTTAGCGTTTTTCAGGCATGTGGTATAAATTGCAGGCACGTTGATAATAAAAGTGAAGACATTTTGCCGGTAGGTTTCTACATTGATAGTTAATTTAGGCGTCTATAAACTGTTTCAGGGGAGTGATCATATCGATCTGCATCAACAGCACTGTGTCTGTCTGCCTGCCACCCTCGGATCAGCTTCTCCGATTGGTTGATGTGGCGCCTCATAAATTGCTTCCAACTCCAGCAGCTGCTGCTTGTGAAGCGCCTCAGATGCATCAAGACGTGCTGCTTTAGGTGCTCTAGATGCGCTGCAGGACTTTTTGATTTTGTGGCTGCTTCTGCTGCCCAAAGCGCTTCCAGTGTGAACGTAGCATGACTCTGGTTAATGGTAATGGGACCAATAATTGAATGCCTTTGTGATTTGGAAAATGCTTGTATAGTTCTTTATTTATTCAGGTTTACTGTCTTTATTAAGATTATATTGTAAATTGAAGTAGTTTTTTAACCATACATACAAACAGAAATGAATAATAAAAGACCTGGGGTGCAAACAAAATGTAAAGCACTTTAAATGTTTGATATAATCACCACACAATGAAAATTATTATTGAATATCTTTAATCTTGTATTCCATTAGATGGAGCAGAAAATGCTTCTTTAGATAACAGACAGGCTGTTAGTAGAAACATTTTGTCTGTGTCACAGTGGCAGCATACTGGCTGAAGATTTTGCCTGCTTGGCCAGAGTCTCTGATATGTTTAATCACTACTCCATGACACACAGGTTCAGCCTTTAGCTTCAAAATGACAACAATGCAATGCAAGTGATGGGAAGTATATATGTTCAACTTCACAAAACAGGAAATGGCTACAAGATTAGCACTTATTTCTTAACTGTAAATCCATTAGACAGTGAATTATTTGAATAATTATGACTTGCAATAAGTCAATGCTAATATCAGTGTCTTGGAGGATAAAATACTGTGAAAAGGTAAATGCTGTATTCATTGAAATTTTAGTTGAAGGTAAAAAGTGTTAAGTAATTGCTGCTTTGAGAAGATGCCTCAATGAAGAACCTAGTCCTTTGTTACCTGTAGGAAAGGATCAGGAGCATTGGCTTGTCATCTGCTGGTGTTGGTCCACTGGGTCTTTATGAAGTCCAGTCCCTTCTCGTTAAAGCTTTTCATGAAAATGCCAACTTCGTTTTCTAGTTAATGTGGTCTCTAGTTCTCACTGCTGAAGCACCAAAGGCTAGATGAATGACAATGGCCAAAAAACTGGCCTGACCTGAACCCTTTAATGCATTCAGCAACACCTTCAGGAGGAAGATGAGCGTGCAGGCATGAATGTTGTTAATGGGAACCTGACGAAACTAAATGAGGTCCAAACAACTGCTTGGTGCATAGAAATAAATGTAGTTTACAGAAGCTTGTCAATTATGGTTGCTATCTGTGGACTATATATAACTTTATTTTTGAGAGTTTGAGCTCTTTGCAAAGATTCTCTATTAAGTTTTGGTCTGGAGACTGACCAGGCCATACCCAGAACCTTGGTATGCTTCTTGCAGAGCCACTCCTTGGTTATCCTGGCTATGTGCTTTGGGTCATTGTCATGCTGGAAGACCCAGCCTCCATCCATCTTCAATGCTCTAAATGAGGGAAGGAGGTTGTTCCCCAAAATCACCCAATATATGGCCCTAGTCATCCTCTTCTTAATACTGTGCAGTGGCCCCTCATGTGCACAAAAACACACCCAAAGCATGGTACTACTACCCTCATGCTTCACAGTAGGGATGGTGTTCTTGGAACAGTACTCGTCATTCTTCTTCCTCCAAACACGTTTAGTGGAATTATGTCCAAAATGTCCTAGTTTGGTCTCATCTGATCACATGACTTTGTCCCATGACTCCTCTGGATCATCCAAATGGTCATTGGCAAACTTAAGACAGACCTTGACATGTGCTGGTTTAAGCAGGGAACCTTCTTTGCCATGGGTGATTTCAAACCATGACGTCTTAGTGTATTACCAACTGAAACCATGGAAACGGTGGTCCCAGCTCTTTTCAGATCATTGACCAGCTCCTCCAGTGTAGTAATGGGCTGATTTCTCATCTTTCTTAGGATCATAGAGACCCCTCCAGGTGAGATCTTGCATGGAGCCCCAGTCTGAGGGAGATTGACAGTCATGTTTAGCTCATTCCATTTTCTAATAATTGCTCCAATGGTGGACCTTTTTTCACCAAGCTGCTTGGCAATGTCCCTGTAACCCCTCCAGGCTCATGGAGGTGTACAATTCTGTCTCTAGTGTCTTTGGACAGCTCTTCGGTCTTGGCCATGTTAGTAGTTGGATTCCTACTATTTTTATGGGGTGGACAGGTGTCTCCTTGCAGCTAACGACCTCAAACAGGTGCACCTAATTCAGGATAATTAATGGAGTGGAGATGGACATTTTGATGGCAGACTAACAGATCTTTGAGTCAGAATTCTAGATGATCGACAGTCAAATACTTATTTGCAGCTGTATCATACAATTAAATAGTTAAAAAATCTTATGTTGTGATTTTTAGATTGTGTTTCTCACAGTGCACATGAACTTACGATGACAATTTCAGACCCCTCCATGATTTCCAAGTGGGAGAACTTGCAAAATAGCAGGGTGTTCAAATACTTATTTTCCTCACCGCGACATCATCATCCATCATTCGATATTCTGTTTGAGTAATGTCACCTGATCAATTTTTTTTTATATTTGATAAGTATGATTTGTGCTGTCATCGTATTGATATTAGTATCGCTCAATAGTTGCAGTCGGACATCGCTTCTATATTATATATATTTTTAATATTAATGGATGTAAAAATGATCCAAAGTCCTTTATGGAACTCAGGGATCAACAGTCTCTCTCCATAAACAACCTTCAGACTCAATCTAAAAGAAACTATTTTGTTTGTAGTTTTACAAGAAAAATCCTTATTCTAAATGTTTTTTTAACTACACTGAAGAACTTTTAGAAGAAAAAAAATGTAAGCATTTTTGTAAGACGTGGTTTAGGTGAATTAGGGAAAAACAATCTAATTCCCTCCGTTATGTTTGGTAGAGGATCTGTAATCATATCAAAGATCAGATAAATGACTCACATGCTTAAAGAAGAAAATTTTTATCTACCGGTATTATTTTTAGGTAAATTAAAACATTTTCTTTTGACTGAACTGAAGGGCTGTAAAAACAGAGTGATTTAAAAAGGGAACATTTTTTTTACCAAAGGTTTGGAAATATCTCAACATAATTAAAACAAATATCACATTATTTAACTATTTTTGTAAATCAAATTATAGCTGGTTTGTCCTTCTTCTCGACTATAAACAAATGATTCAAACAAAATAAAGTTAATGTCACAGTAATGAACACCCAATAAGCCTTAAATAATCTTTATTGTAAAGTTTTCTTATAAAGATTTTACTATTTTGGGCCTTGGTTAAAGCACTCCATGTTTCAAGACCTTAAAAAATCCCCTGGAATAAAATATAAGAGAGACTTGTCCAAAATCATCACAGATGTTTCTCTCTGTTTTGCTTCAACCTTGAAAATCCTGGAAAAGACAAAGAGTTGATCCGTTTTTAACAAATGGTTCACAAGGATCACCAACAATAGTGAATATCACTGAATGTCACCAAATTACTTTCAATATAAAAGATGATCTAAAAGGATACAGGAAACTAGCCAAAAAAAAAAAAAAAAAACATTTAAAAAAAGGTTCAGTTACAGTAACCTGGTTGTGTGTGGTTTTGATTCTTCTGGTGATCTTTGTGGTTTTTCGCACCAGCAGCCAAACTCAACACATCTGCTCTGCGAATGTAACGCTCCATGAGGTTAATGAGACAAAAGGTTCCGATAGTTTTTAATAGACTCTCCTTATGTTTTGCAAATGCATTCAACCAAGCTGTTGTTTTGGGTTATGTAAAACTCTGTGTGGGATATTATCTTTGAGATGACCCATCAGTGCACCCTCACAGCAGTTTGAGTCCTTTTGTTTGGTGATGTCAGATGTTTCCAGTCAAGTAAAAGGTGAGTTACTATGTTTTTGTGTGTTTGTTTATCTGTAAGCAGGACTGCTTGAAAAGTTATTAACAGATTTTAATGAGTTTTTTTTTTTACCAGGGATGCGCCTCATGCCAACAAACAATCTGTTAAAAAATTTGGTAATGATCCAGATGGAGAGTTTTATCTATAGGTATAAGTCACAATATGGGGCAATATCTTCTACTTGCTGGAGGTTTGCGTTCTCAGTGCTTTTCTAGTTTTAAAACTGGTTTTGTAGCAGGTATTAATATATATTAGGGCTGCAATTAACGGTTATTTTACTAGTTGATTAATTTGTCAATTCTTTTTTCATTAATATTTAAAAGTTTCCTCAAAGAAGATTTTTCTAATGCAGAATTAAACCCATGTTTCCACTTGAGGAGTTCTGGGAAGAGCACATTGAGAGAAGAAAATGATATTTTTTTTTCAGGTTATGTTTTTTTTTATTTCCAGTTTTGTTATATTTACACTTAAAAGTGTCAGCTAAAGATATTTTTTTAGAGTCTCTATACTCCAGGTAACAATTAATTCATTACTAAATTAGATGATCATTACTTCAATAATCGATTTATCTGATTAATTGTTCCAGCCCTAATGTATATTAAAGATATAGGGGAGGATTTTCCCTCATTTTTGAAAAGATCCGCCCTCTCCACTTAAAAAAAAAAAGTGCAATGGTACGACGGTCGCTCGGATGGATCTAATCTCACCCATATTTATTCATAAAAACGTTCCCTGCAAATAAGAGTACTGGTACATAAAAAAAAATCATGACATGCATGTCTGTGTGTGCTGCAGAAATTTAGATGTGTTTGCGGGGTATATAAGGATCTGTGGCCACCTTAGAACTACTAACGATGCAAATTAACAAAATAAATAAACTTCCCTGGAAAGTTACAATATAAAGGTAGAATACTTTTATACCTCCAGATAGATAGTACAACTATACCTGTTGAGTATAAACCTTGCAGCCGCTGCAGCAGTGCATCATACACTTGGTAGACACTTTTTCTCTCATGACCCTCGGCCATTTTCAAAGAACCGCAGTAAGAAAGAACCAGCTTCATTGACTTTTTGAAACCGTAGCTCACCACACATATACGCCTGAAAGTGTGCATGTGCAGAAAAAGATGGCTAACGGGACGAGCAGGTAGGACAGCCTTACGTAAACATATCACCAGAATGATTGACAATTAGGAGGACCACTTATTTAGATGATCCACCCAGAAAAAGAACATCCTTCCCTATACCTTTAAGTTATAACAGGTCAAAGGTCACCTGCAGCCCTAACTTTATCTTTTTAGTGTAACTCTGGATGGATATAATTTATCACACATAGCTAATCTTTATCCAAATCTGTACATTTAACTATATATATAAAAAATATTTTCATATGTACATATGTTTGATAAATATTAATAATGATGCTATCTTATCAAAATGTCTCCTTTGTGTGTGTGTTTCTAGCAGTTTGTGAACTTTGATGTGATGGCGGAGCTGCCGTCTGGGCTCCTGGAGGCCTGCGTTGTGGTTGGAGCTCCCAGCGATAAACTTCGAGAGATACAGCAAGTGTGTCTACAGAGAGACAAAGTGAGATGCAAAAAATATTTGTCCTAGGCAGCAGATACTGACTAAATCAAAAGGCAAAAACAACAGAAGTAGATAAATCGGTTTTTAGATTGGTTTGGGATTTATACATTGCATCAAGTGGTTTATCTTCATAGTGATGGAATAATGAACCCTTGTTGTATATTTTTTCCCCTAATCTGTGTTGAAGCATCCAATTTTGCTGCCCCTACAGCACACCAAGTTAGACGAGCTCCCCCTGTTGGATCCTGAGGTACTGCAGGTCCACGCTCCGCCCTTCGTTTCCAAAGAGTCCAACTCGAACCATGTGATTGGTCCAGCTTTTAGCCGCGTGCAGAAAAGAAGAAGCTTCATCAAAAAGGTTTTCTTCAATGATGGATTCATTTTAAACGAATATAAAAAGAACAACACTTTTACCAATCTTTTTTTTTCTTTTTTTTTATGCAATTTACAGAAGAGGCGAGATCGTCCTGCAGAGGGAGTGTCTAATGGAGATTCACGCAGTCGTGCCGAAACCTCGTCGGCAACAGAGGACATCAGTGTTCCAAAAGATCTGGACCTCATCGCTTTGCCTCAGCTCTGTTTTCCTGGTACTCTCTCCTTTTTCTTAAATCGAAACAGGTTAAATAATAATATACCTCACTTATAACCAGTCATTTTAGCAGTATTTAGTGCAGCTTTGTTCTTTTTTCTTACCGTTTTGCCCCATTTCTGTTTTCCTTTTGATATTTGTTCCAATAGCTGCTAAAAAAACCTTTTATGGTTTGGGTTCTAAGTCTTGATATCATCATTCAACCGTTTATTATAATTTTTTCACAGGCGGTCTTCAGCTAGCCAGTGAACAGAAAGACGACGCTTATCACTTCCTGGTTTTTACCGACCTGTTTGGTAATCGAACCCACGGGGTTGTCGTCCAGTACTACAGAGCTGTCCAGGTACAAACACTTTTACAGATTGAACGACAAAACATTGAAGACGATCAATTCTGAGGTGATATACTGTAGTATTGTTGTCTTCAACAGTCTGTTCAGGAAGGTTCTCTGCAGAATGGCCACAGATGGAATGCAGCCAAGTCTCGTCTGTATGCTCCCTTTGCTGTGTGCATCATCTCCAAGTTCCCCTACTACAACGCTCTAAAAGACTGCTTGTCATGGTAACACATTTAGTTGGTAATGGGTGGATCTTTGGACTACTGCTTAACATATTTATATGTAATCTATAAACACTGTAAACCTGCTGCAAAAGATCCAAAATAAAGATATTAATGTTGACTATCATCATTATGGAAGTAATATAGACCTGACTCTTTTCACACAAAGTGATGCTGCCTTTCAATCAATTGGTTTTACATCTCATGTCAGCAAAGCTACACAAAATTATATTTTAAATAATAAAATTATTACATTTGACAGAAGTATTTTGCACATCTAATTATAGGAAATGAAAGTAGAATATAAACAAATACTTTAAGGTCTTGTTCTCTGTTCTGTTAAACAAGTCAGACACTTTTTTAGGTTCAAAAGAAAGATGCATAACCATCCATCACTTAATGGTAAACTTTTTAATTTGTATCGTAAAACCAGGAAAGGAAAATAAGGAATCTTTGCATGAATGCTTATGGAATCTGGAATAAATGTTTTGGGATCTAAGCTACAGAACTGGATGTCAGAAATCAGCCGCCTAGCTTTAAATAGGACGTCTGTAATGATCAGTTTTCCATTGCTGCTGCTATTAAATTTGTTTTTTTATTGTTTCCAGTCTGCTGGTACAGCTGCGGACAGCGAGGCAGGCTGATGTTGAAGAAGCAATCAAGGAGTTTTCAGCCAAGCTGTCCCTTGTTCCATTGCCCCCACCTGGACAGCTGCATGTGGTCTGGATATATTCCTGCTTTTCTTTCACCGCTCCCTCTTGCCTTCTACTGTAGACCTCAACAGTAAAAGGCTTTTCTCTTCTTCAGTCTTTCAGTCTTCGTCCTCTTCAAGTGGTTCTCCCGTCCAGAGACGATGTGGACAGCCCAGTTATCGACATCGACCTCCACCTTCCGCTCCTCTGTTTCACTAATGCAGCTCTGCTCCAGGTAGTCAAAATAACAGACTCATCGGACATTTTGAAAAATGTTTATTGTAGAAAAGGCTAATGAGTTTTTTCTCTGCTGTGTTTTCTAGGTGCTCTCCTGCCTTCTCCAAGAGCAGAGGATTGTTTTTTTCTCCTCTGACTGGGCCAGACTAACTTTGGTTGCAGAGAGTTTGCTGCTCTACCTGCAGGTTTGTGGAAGAAGTTTTTTTTTTTTTATATATAATTAAAAAAACATGTCAAACCTTATTGATTTTTTTTCTTCCTTCCTTTTATTTGTTTTAGCCGTTGTCCTGGCAGCAGCCTTACGTCCCAGTCTTGGCTCGAGGAATGCTGGACTTCCTGATGGCGCCGACCGCTTTCCTGATGGGCTGTCATGTTAATCATTTTGAAGATATCGCTGCAGTAAGTAAACTGGTGCATTTAGAGATATAAAAAATCTATGTTTTTCTTCTTTTTTTTTGGTCGATTTATTTTTCTTTGAATTAAGAAAAAAACTCTTCATCAAACTGCTATTTATCATAGAAAATGTGTGGCTCTTTGCCATAAAATCAGCACCTGATGTTCAAATCTGAGTTTTATAATCGGTTTGTACAGAGTAAACCACCATATAGAGTTCAACAATAGCCTCTTATTCTCAGCGTCTTCATCTTTATTCCGTGTCTGAGGCTCAGCTCACATTCTCACAGAAGCTCTCTGTTCATTAGACTGAGCCCTTCTCTGTAAAACTGCTGTAATGAATTGTTCCTACTGTACAAATGCTATGTGCCTGTATGTCTTTATCTTTGGACATAGGAGACAGAGGACCTGATCCTGGTGAATGTGGATGACGGCATCATTCAGACATCATGGTCTGAAACCGTGGACCTCCCCACCATACCTCTGGCTGCAGCAGAGTGCTTCATTTCAAGGTGATGCATGCAAACACCCAATCGGAAACTAGTGTGTCAAATGGTCCCTTGGAAAAGTATTTACACTCGCACTTCTTAAATATTTTTCATTTCTTTTATAAAATCACAATTTTAACATATATTACTCACTATATTTTAAAAGAATATGCAAAGAAGTACAAAGAAAAAAGTAAATGAATTGAGGTATTTAATTGAGGATAATATAAAACGTAAAAAAAAAAAGAAAAAACGCCTGATGATTCACCCAAAAAAGCAGTAACCATGTTCAACCCTAACAATGGAAATCCCCATGTTGACATATGATGATGCCAGTGTCTTTATATTTTTACGGTCAAGGTTGTAATTACATGGATGGATATCATATCTATAATAGACGCATTTTGAAATATGTATTTTGTCAGTTTTTCCCAGTTGAACCCAAACCCTGCTGATCTAAATAAATTGTTAAACCATTAATAAAATGTTTTGATGTCAATTGCATCTGCGCAAAGAATGTGGTTTGGCTTTAATTAGCTGATCTTGACCTGCATATCTCTTGGAATATTTATAAGCTCCAAATTCCTTTCTATTGTAGTTTTTTTTTTCAATACGCAGTACTTTGTACTACTTTTTTTTATTTGTTTATGCTATGCAATAAATATATCAGTTTTGGTTAAAAGGTTTTTAAATGAGAAGATTTGATGTTGGTTATTATCCGATTAAAGCATTACAAGACTAAATCTGTGTGTTTTGGGTTTTTCAGGGCAGAGTGCTTACAGCTGCAGTACGATTTGGAGCTGTGCCACCTGGGAGCAGGAACAGATGTAAACGGCCTTCGCTCCCAGCGCAGAAACTGGCAGAGAAAACTCAATATCCAGATACAAAACATCGCTATGGAATTGGTGGTCAATATTTTCAGGTGAGGCTCCACTGACTGGTAAACAAATTAGACAGATTCAAAGTCTCACTGGTTTTTCTGCTTTCTTTGTCAGAGGGGTCCAGGACTTTTTAAACCATGAACATCGAGTTTTTAACAGTGAGGAATTTCTTAGAACAAGGGAGCCTGAAGACCAGCTGTTTTACAAGAAGGTACAATCTGTTGTTGTTAAATTAAGATTTAGACACTGGTTAACACACTAACCTGTGACTGTGTGTTTGTCAATGCTTTGTTCTCAGGTATTAGAAACTCATATCTTTCACTCGTTCCTGCGGGACAGGCTGAACAGGAAAAGGGACTCCTTCAGCTGCATGGAGCAGATGATACGAAACCACGCACACAGGTATGATGCTGGTATGATGTCACTGCTGATGAGCTGCCACAAGTTAGAGAAGATAAGAATATTTTAGTTCTTTTTAGGAAAAAAAAGGTTTCGTTGATTTAGCTGTTTTTTATGGGATTTTTTTTTTTAAATCACGTTAAAGGAGAAAGAATTCCTCCCGGCCAATGAGTGGCGCACTTGTGCTCACCAGCTCTTGTTTCAGTTTTTAATTGTACTGTTTGCCAGCGAGTTTCCAGATCCAACCTATGCTAACAAAAACGTTTAACCGGCCATCTTTGTTTGCTTCTCTTTTTGGGCTTAAAACGCAGAAAAGGAAGAAGAAGATGAAGAAAAAGGCATTTTTTAGCTCTCTTATCTGAGTTTTCAGTCTCACAACAAACCCATCTTAAGACTCCATCTGGTGACAACCATCGGGTCGGACCAATGATATGCCAGCAGCGTTTTTTGAGGCGGAACATGTAGGAATGACTATAGTCAGAAGGGATTTGCCAGGACATTAGACATGGCTATGCTGGAGCACTCACCTGTCGATACCGCAATTGACTCAGTTTTGGCTAAAATAGCGACAATTTCTCATTTAAAAAGGAGCAAAGAGCAGCAACTTCTGCATTTGTAGAATGTCTTTGCTTTTCTTCCAACAGGATTTGGAAAAAGTTTGATTTCTATATTCATTATTCCGCTAGTTGGGAAAATGCTCAAGAAGCTGCATGAATCGCATGATGCGATTGGCTGGAAGCATATTATGGAAGGCGGGTGCTAGCTACGATCACCCAATCAGCTCAAAGTATTGTACTAAACATCCCTCCTTTACACGCACAGACTGAACGGCAGCCATCCCAGAGTGATTACGTAGAACTCAACTCCGTTCTACACGTATCAATCTAGCTACTGCCAGGTTACACTTATGGAGCTGCTAGGATCTGACAAGGTGTGACTTCAGCCAACTATTCTCATTGATGCAGAATCCTCACAGGTCCACCCTGGCATTGCTTTCAGAAGAAAATATCTATTTGGGCTACGTTCACAATGCAGTCTGAAGTGACCCAAATCCAATTTTTTTGCCCATATGCGACCTGAATCTGATCTTTTCATGGTGGTCTGAACAACACAGATCCGATTTTTTTTTCCAATCCGACCCAGGCCACTTGGCTATGTGGTTCTGAATCCGATACAAATCTAAACATTTCAAATGCGACCTGTGTGTGAACGGCCAGGTCGGATTTATCCGACCTGAACGTCATTAATACCCGACAAAGGTCACTATTATGCGTCTTGCTACGCAGAAGCAGCAAGAAAAACAACAACCATGGCAGATGATGAATCAGAGAGCAGTATTCATGTTTAACCATTTTCAAAAGATTTTGTTTTTATGGTTGGAAAAGACCACTAGATGCGCGCCATGTTTACTTCGGGGGAAAAAAGAGCTTGCTGGCCTGTGACGTCACTGCGTTCTCTACTGCGCATGCAGGACACTTGCGTTGTATGACTGCAGTTCACACAGGAGATCTCATACAAGTTGCATAAATTTGAAATATGAATAGGAACACACAAAAAAAAATCGGATTTCACAAAAAAATCGGAATTGAACATCAAGGCCTGCAGTGTGAACGTAGCCTTGGACTTGTCAGTATTTAGTAAACATTTATATACTTAATGTTTTTCAGTAAAATAATTATGTTTATTTTGCATTACTAGATTGTTTTGTGGATTTTTTTTCTTTTTTTTTTATGAATCTTTTTACAGATACTACCCTCCCCCCGTGGCGAACATGGGATCAGAGAAAATAGATTGATGGGATTCTATTTTCAATACTGACCAGTGGCTTCCTTTGTGTCTAACAGCCTCTTTCCTAGTTGGTTCTGATCATAGGATGTTAGAAGTTCGAGGGAATTAGTTCAAGAATATCTAACTATAACTATAAATGTTGAAATATGTTTTGTTTGATTTGTTGAAATCATGGTTTGAATATTTATATCTGCAGGTTCTCTAGCCTGATTTAGCTGTGTCATTATCAAACTAATAAAATCTGCTTCCTGACCCTGTTTGCAGGAATCGTGCAATGACTGAGTCTCCACGCCGTCCTCCTATGTCTGAAATGTCCAGGAGTGGCTACAGTCGGTACACTAGTCCTGACAGCAGACTGAGCAGGAGACTGGGGGCCAGTCTGCCGAATCTGGACCAACCCATGAAGGAATCCACGGGGGTGAACGCAAAGAGACTACTCTCCGTCCGAAAGATTAGTCCTGATAGTGGTCAGTACCAGTGATGGAACCCAGGAAATCTGAATACTGGATCATTTTTGATGCAATGATTTTCTTTCTAGGGTTGAAGTTTCTTCAGAAACCTTTGAAGATCTTCCGTCTCCCAGAATTTCCACCTCCATTGGCCTATCAATATGTTCAGAACTATTACTCTGACATGGTTTCATCATTGGGGAAGGCTATTAGTGCGACGCCACCTGATGAATCTGCTCTGTTGGCCAGGTAGATATATGTTTATTTCTTTAAAGCAAGAAAAGATTTAAGGAAATCAGGCCTGATTCAGCAGAAAGTGAAAAAAGACAGAAATCCCAACATCTTGAGTCTGAAGTTATGCTGCAGACACAACAAAAAATCCTAGTTTTACCTGCCAAGCTTGTTTTAAATACTTTCCTCTGACTCAGCAAAGATCACATGATACAGCTGTTAGGTAATACTAGTAAAATGCAGCAACCTTACCGTTCAATATTTAACCTTAGTGGTGAGCTCTCTCCTTCTTTGGCTTTTTAATGCGAAGTATATGAGCAGGATAGATCTTCTTTTTTTCCTCATGGATTGTCCTTTGTGTCTTTGTTTAAAAATAAAATAATTTGACTAGAAAAACCGGTTATTACTCATGAGTCATGAACATTTTATCATTATATCTTGCTGTTGTCCTTTTTTTGTTTGTGTTTTTAGTTTTTGTGGGTTAAGCAGCTGCTTTTCAAGATTTTACAGTTGTTAAGTTAATTAGCTGACCTCTAGATGGCAAGTTTAACCCGTTTGGTTCTAAATGTTTTGCTCCCTTTCTCTGTCCAGATACCACTACCTACGGGGCTTGGTGAACACCGTGTCCAACAGGCGCCTGGATGCATTGGAGGATTTTCACAGTCTTTATAAGACGGATGCAGAAATCTTTCCTTCTCAGATGGTTAAGTCATTGATGGAGTCCCTGCCAGATGTTGAACGGGTCCAGGTTGGTTCACGCCGGCTGTGTCCGAATGTCCACCCTAATCGCTATATAGAGCACTATATAGTGGCTAAGCCATTTTAGATGAGTGTGCGAACATCTAGTGGTTGAAAAAGTTGTGGACTCGAAATTTCCAACGATGCACCTTGAAAAGAGGTGATCATCCATGATCACTAGACGAGCAGACATATCCCAGATTGCTTTGCGAGAGTTCTCCTTGTAAAGCATCATGAGATTTGCTGTGGCAGCGACGGAGATGGTGCAGGCACCTTGCAGTGAAGCACAAACCCAGTTAACTGCTCGAACGGTCAGTTAACTCAGTTCACTATAAAGTCCACTATAGTGTCCCAGCTCTATATAGGGATTGAGGGATTTAGGCGTTTGGGCAGATGTCAAAGTCAAAGGGAAGTCAAAGTATGAAATAAAAGAATAAGGGGCTAGAACATGCTAGCAGCAGGCAGAGGTGTCAAGTAACGAAGTACAAATACTTCGTTACTGTGCTTTAGTACACTTTTTAGGTATCTATACTTTACTCCATTATTTTTTTTTCTTCTTACTTTTGACTTCTACTCATTACATTTTCACACAATATCTGTATTTTCTATTCCTTACATTTTTAAAACAAACGTAACTCGTAACTCTTGGCTTCGGTTTAATATTTATAAATATTTATTTCATGTCATGTGCACCATCCAATGCAGATCATTGGCACCATCCACATCTAGTGAAAACTAGTGTAATTGGTTGAGTCATAGAATGCAAACACTCATTGGTTGGCTAAAGGAAATCATCAGAAGCAAGCAAACATGAATTGTCTATGCCATGCTACAATTTTCGATTCAGAAAAAGATGTTGAAATGTCTGAAAGGTTGGACACAGGCGAGAGCATATCAGGAGATGGAGAAAGAGATCAACAAGACCTTCCTCATCCTTGGCCATATCTCAAAGAATTTATCGAAATAGTCGAAAAATTTAGCTTTCAATTCATTTTTTTTTTAAGGTTACTTTATACTTTTATACTTTAAGTAGGTTTTGGAGCACTTACTTTTTCACTTTTACTCGAGTAAAGTGGTGAAGTTGATACTTCAACTTTTACCAGAGTGTTTTTAAACTGCAGTATCTATACTTCTACTTAAGTAACAAATGTGTGTACTTTTGACACCACTGGCAGCAGACATGACGGAGGACAAATGTCCCAACTTCACACATTTTGCCATTAATTTGCCTCATTAAAACTGCTCAACCAATGAAGAGACTGACATCAAATCCATCAGAGCCGAAATAACGAGCTGGCGAAGCCTCATCTTTTAGTAGAAGCTCTTACTGCTGCGGGCTAACAAGCTAACAGGAGCTAGCATTGTTCTTTGTTCCTACTGCAGGGGCTATATGTAGAGCTCCCCCTACAGGTCTGGTGGGAGACATTAGATATCGGCAGCTTATAGCCCGGTGCAACTTATATATGTACGTTTACTTCTTTTTTTTTTAAGTGGGCATGGTGTATAGTGAGGTGTGCTCTATAATCGGAAAATTTGATCATTTTTAAAAACTAAAAGGAAAGTTAGATACGTGATACACTAAGTTGTGAAGTTTTTTTTTTTTTACCAATTATGCCCCTTTTGTTAACCACTTTATATTCACTCGTTTCGCTATTTTTATATAGGATTTGATCAAAACAAAGCCGTTTGTAAATGTTAAGGGCAAGGAAACTGATTTAACTCCCTTTGCATCTGTCGGATACATCCCAATACATTTAAGCTTGTAAATGCAACAGGATATTAAAGGCTTTAAGGTTGGGAATCTATTAACTATTAACAGAAACAACTTAATATTGAAAAGCAAAATCCTCTCCTCAGGCGGACAGAAGGCCAGAGATCAAACGCCTCATCAGCCGGGTGAAGAGGGAACAGGAGCGGGAGCGTGCGACCCAGGGCTCTGAGCAGGAGGAAGCAGCAGTAAAGCGTTTCCAGCTGCCGAAAAAATACATGCACTTAGAGGAGTTTGTGAAATGTGTCCAGGAGTCTGGCATCGTAAAAGACCAAGGAACCATCCACAGACTGTTTGATGCCCTAACTGTAGGTGAGGAGGGGACTTTTGTTATATATGTTTGTTTGGGTAGTTAAAATTTAATGAGGTCCAGATTCTTTATTACTTCACTGCACTTTAGATTACGGGGTTTTTTTATAATCTCAAGGCTTTGGACTACATTTTCTTAATAATTGCATAATTTCTCTTTCCAGCTGCACCCCTTTTTTTTTTTCTTTTTTTCCCTTGTCCAGGTAAACATTTATGTCTTGGGTTAATGATTAACTTTTTCCTTTTGTCATAGACATTTTTAGTGGAAGCCAAGGTTTCACTTAACCTTTGCTCTACACTAGTTTGTCCGTGTGTGTGTTTGTAGATTCTGGAAATATTCCAACACGGATCTAATGTGAAAAACATTTGAAGTTGGCTCCAGTGTATTCATACCATTCAGCAGCAACTGGGATCTTAGAATATTTCTCAAGAAAGTAGGAAGCAATTTTCTCTCGTATTGAGATATTGACATTTTTTGCTGTAGATTGTTTTTGTTTTTATCAGACAGTTGGTTGAATGTTGCGTCATTGTTTCCATTTATTTATTTTTATACATTTTGCTAATTTTGAGCCATAACAAGAACACATGTAAGATAAAATAAAGCTTCCTTTATATAAGGCTTAAAATGTAAAACCAAACCTCAAAGTGTTTTTACTCTGGGCTCTTTTCTCCCCTCCATTGTTGTCGGATAATCATAGAGTGTTGCTCATACTAGCATCTTTGGATTTAGATAGTTTGGAGATTAGTGGTTGAAAATGCTAGGATATATTTTAAAACTTCTGTTGAAATTGAAAGGAGTTAGTTTTAAATTTGCAAGGGATAAAAAGGATAATTATTTTTCAGTATACCTATCCTGTACGGCTCAAAAAGTCCAAAAACGGCCTCTGTTCTGCGGTTTTGATGAAGACCGCCTTCTGTTGCTCACTCTGCTGGCATGTTGGCACATCAAAGAGTCTGAAAATCCTAGCTCTGCCACCAACCAGATGTTGAACTTGGTTAAATTCAGTATGAGAGCAGCAGAGCTGTTCAAACAAGACAAACGCTCTCTCAGCAATTTTAAGGTAAACAAAATGTGGCTCAGCTGAGCCGGGGAACTTTTCAGCATCTGTATTTGATCTCTGTTTTTATGTGTGTTTACTGCAGGTCACCAGAAGCAGGTTGGTCCGGACTTATTCAGGGTGTTTTACACCATCTGGAAGGAGACCGAGGCTGAGGCTCAGGAGGTCAGTACTGTACTGTTATGAACAAAAAATAAGTCATTCAACAGTCAAAACTATTTCTGAAAATAAAAAACACTTCATATGCTCATTTATGTTACACTAAATCCATTTTTGAAATGCTTGCTTAGTAAAAGTGTTCTGCTTTATTTCTTCCTTGCATTAACAAAGCAGAAGCCCAGATATACGAAGCCTCGATCATGCCTATCCAGTTAAGCTGATGAGAGCAGCTTGGTCCAATTATAGCGTCACATTGTGTTTGCTCTGTCATCCAACTCCAATAGAGCACAGAATTTATAGAGAAAAGTGCTGCCTCACAGTGACCTCCACACACAAACAGCAGTGAGACACTCCTCCACATAGTTTGAGAACAATAGGACTGTCAGGGAGGAATCAAGTTTTCAAAGTTGTTGCTGCATGAATAGAAAATAGAGATGTGTTAAACGCATGGCTGAAAAAAGCAAAGGAAGAACTGATTGAAGCTGGATCAGATTGTTAAATCTCTGGACCTTCAAATATGTGTTATATTTATTAACAGCCTCAAAGGTTTCTGTTTTCCTTCCCTTGCTGTGTTTGCAGTTAAGACTTCTATCATCTTCACTAAATGACTGAAGCTCTTGAACTTCTAATGCAGGATCCCCACTCAAATGTGGAGGAAGTGTTTTCTGTTTAAACCAGAATGGCTGTACAGCAGGTTGCTCCATTTCCTTTTTCTTCTCTTGCATCAAAATTTCCATAACGTCTCAACGCATAGATTTGTTTTATGTAATCTCTGCAGCACAGACAGCTCTGGGGTTGGAGTAACAAAAGCTTTTTTTTATTAAACTGCATAAATATAAATCCCTGTAATTAATGCACAATGAACTGTTTGAACGTAAAAAGAGTATATTGGACCATTAGGGATGATTTAAGAGTAGATATATTGTGTTTGAGGGATTCTTTCTGTTAGTTATGATTAAAAAAAATACATTTCTACTCATTTATAAGAAAAATAAAGAATGATAACATCAGCACTACAAGGCCTTGCTTATATAATCACACCCCATGACATTTTATTTAAAACCTTTTTTAACTTTCATGGGTCAAACACAATGTAATGCTTAGCTGTTAAAGGGGAAGTAAAGGATACCAAATAATACAGCCATGCTGTGCTTATCTATCCCTGAATGTCCAGTTCAACAAAACAGCCTCAGAAATACTCAATAAATTCATATTGTCTGAAATTTAATCCAATTGTAAATAAAGTTCTTATTTAACAGTCTCTTAGGTCAGGAAGAGCATGAATTAGGGAAGCAACCAAGAGCTCCCTGGTATCTCTTTAGGAGCTGCAGAGATCTTAAGCTCATCTAGGAGATTTGTTCAATGGAGCCAATTTCTTATTTTTTCCACACATTTAAATCTTCCAGCCTCGGCTGGAAACCAGCAGCTACATTTACGCAAGCACACTATCAGTACAGCGATGTATAAAAAGAAATTGTAGCTTCATGCTGTGCAGATTTTCAGTGTTGATGGGGAGATGGCTGGACCCTTCAGCAAGACTTTGACCATAAACATAAAACTGTCCGTCCCGCCAGAAGCATCACGGACGATGGACTAGCTCAAGTCCAAACCGTTTCAAATTCTGTGGTAAGATTTAAAAGTAGATTTTTGCTGATGTGTTGAGTTGAGCTTTCCATCCATGTGCAGCTGTGCCTCATTTTCAATCTGATTCAAACTGGTCATCATTTTGTTTGTCAAATCAAGTCCTGGTAAAACCCACAGCCCTGCAGTTTATATGACGCAGAAGAAGAAAAAGGTTCGGTTGTGTGAATGCATTTGCACTGATATAGGTGCACAACTTCATAGGGTTATTAGAAGAATTTGATCATGGATTCTTTGATTTTTTTTTTCTGGATGGATAAAATAAAATAATGGTATGATTTGTTGTGTATATTTGCTAAGGTGAGTCTGCCAGCATCTGTGTTGGAGCACATTGATGCCACCGAGTGCGTCTTCAAGCTGTCGTCCTCTGTCAAGACGAGCCGCGGTGTGGGCAAGATTGCCATGACTCAACGGCGACTTTTCCTGCTGACCGACGGACGACCAGGATACGTGGAGGTGGCGCAGTATCGGGATCTAGAGGTGAGAGGATGAACGGAGACTAGACAACACAGCCGGGTAAACAAATCCAAAAGCTGATGATGAGCCTTCATTGACAGGAGGTGAAAGTGTCCTCGGCTCCCTTCCTGGTTCTACGCATCCCCAGCCTGAAGATTCGTGTTCATGGAAGGAAGGAGGCGTTCGAGGCAAACCTGAAGACAGAAACTGAGCTTTGGAATCTGATGGTCAAGGAGATGTGGGCGGGGCGAATGATAGCTGACCAGCACAAGGTAAAGACTTGAACTGGGAGGGTCAAAGTGCCATAAAATTAGTGAAAAGTGGGGAAAAAAATAACCCATCAAGATCAGTCGTTGAGTTATTTGTCACTTTTTAGTGTGTGTACGTATGTGGGTCGGTGGGTGGTTGTGTAGCATCAGAGCGACCATTTTTCCAATTTAACCATCACCAAGAGGACCAGTTGTTGTAAAGTGAGGACATTTTTCTGGTCCTCACGAGCTATTTTGCTTTTGGTTAGGTTTGGGGCTAAGGTGTCAATTGGGTTAGGGTTAGGTATGCATTAGTAATGGTTAGATTTAGGGTTCGTTTTGGGGTTAAGCCATAGAAATGTTTGAAAATGAAAATCAGTTGAAGTCAATAGGAGTCAACACATGGTCCTCACTACATATAGCAGAACAAACGTGTGTGTGTACACACAGCTGCTTTATTGAACTTCAGTGACCCCTGTGGGTGTGCCTGAAATTCTATCGGGCGAACACAACCAAAGTTCAGCAGAAAGAGGTTTTCCTTTTTGAAACTAGACAGTGTAGTTCCAACGTCCCCTTTTCTGACCTCTTTCATCTGTTACTGACTTGCAAGATTTGTAAAATTTCAGTTCCCCTTAAATGTCCTCTGCACGTTTAAAAAGTCATTACTAATTTTCATCCTGTTCACTTCATTCATAGGTCTTACTGTAGTTTATCACATCAATAAACCTTAAACACAGCATGTCTTTTACCTTAGTTATACCTTAGAGTTATGTTATTTTTAAGTACTGATATATCTGTATATATCCTATAAATTGTGATTTAAGTGAACATATGCTGCACTTTTCTGCCAATTTGTTTTGCATCCTGGTAATTTAATTATGTTTTCAAATTGGGTTATATTTTTTATATTTTTTCCCTTCTTGTTTAAGTAACCATTTCTTAAGTTGAAAACAAACTACTGTAGACGGAGCTGTTAACTGTGTACAATCAGGTGCACAGCATGCTGTTTCATAATCATCTGCTACAGGGATGTCCCGATGATCCCGATCTACAATATGTACTATAAATCAAATAATTTATGAAAGATGCACCAAGGGTTCTTTTTTTTACTTATTGCATTTAAAATGTGTCCATCTATAGGATCCACAGTATATGCAGCAGGCTCTGACCAATGCCTTGTTGATGGACGCTGTAGTGGGCAGCCTTCAGAGCAGTAAGGCTATCTATGCTGCTTCTAAACTGGCTCGCTTTGACCGCATGAAGCTGGAAGGTAAGATGTGTTTCTCTCTTCCTCTGGCATTTCTACATCTGTTTTAGTTTTTAATGGAACTTTGTCTCAGTCAGTTTTAAGAGTTCTTTTTCAGTAATGTAGCACACATGCTTAATCATCTTTGTCTCTCCATGAGTCATCTGAGGCTTCTTTTGTTTCCCTTAAGGAGCTTGGAAATTTTCCCCGTTTCATCATCATGTAGTCATCCCATTAAAGGTTCATTAATTCCTTTCTGTGTGTCTCCAGTTCAAATGATGGTTCCCACAACTACTGCAGAGACGCTGAAACATAAAATAAACCCTTCAGTGGAACTTGCTGCACCCCAGGCTGTAGATGTGTTGTTGTACACCCCAGGTACCCACACAAATACATCCACACCAACAAACACGCATGCACAAACCTGGATGAATCCTTACTGAGCAGTCTCTGCAGCATTCCTGGCAAGTTTCAGGGCGGTCGGATCTCTGATCGGTAGATCTGAGAATGTGAAGCAGCAGAATTGCCTTGCATCGTGGCAGCAGCCCAACTATTAATGAACATGAAGTTAACCTGTCTTTTATTGTCAGCTGTTACAGTAATAAGTACGTTAGAGTGCTGGACAAACATTTTCCCAACCGTACTTCCTCCTTTTACAGTCCTCCTTTATTAAAAAACTGCAGATGTGAAAGAAATGTATAGATATACTGTCAATTAGGGATACTCCAGTTTACATTTTTTCACCCTGATCCAATAATTATCTAAACTTAAAGTCCCTCTTTGAGGAGAAATCAGTCAGCATGAGGTTTCTTGATCTCTTTGAACATATTGAAAGCACAAAAAAGGGAAATTATTTATGTTGAAGAACATATAATTTTTTTATCAAATAAAGCTACAGTTTCTTTTTCTTTTTCTGGAAGCAGTTAAAGCTGCAGTCATCAGGAGCCCATTTTCTGATCTATTTTTTCCCTCCTGATCCAAAACAGCTGATTTAAGTGAAAGATGGATTTCTGCATAATTTGATTGCATGTGGACGTGTTTATGGAACACTGAAATCGATGTTCTTAAAGTTGCATTACAGAAAACATTTTGTGCTGCTGTTCTAAAAATAACTTTAAACGACACTCCTAACTATACGTACATTTCTTCCTTGGCTAGATCAGGAAAAGCTTTTGTTTTTTTTCTCAAGTTTTCAGGAAGTAAAAAAAATCTTCCCTCCACTGTTTTTTGTGCCTTTTGAATTAAATTACAGAAGATTCATATTTATTTATTGATTGTTAAAGGTACACTATGCAACCGGTGTTGATTTTCCAGCGAGGCTCCCCCCAGAGGGCGAAAGTAAAATTGCACTGTCGTAAATATGCACAGCTGTTCTCCTGGTTTCTCCGTCAAGCCAGGCGCGGTTGTTTTGAGCTTAGCAGCGAATGACTAATGCTGCGTTCACACTGGATGTAGCTGGCGCGACAGAAGCAGCGAGTTTACATGCAAAGTCAATGGTTGATGCGCGTCAAGGCGTTGCAAAAGGTCCCGCGGCGCGTTTTGAGATGCAGGCGCAGCACGTCTGAGCAGCTGAAGCAGCGCGTTTAAGCATCTGACGCAGGGAGAGAGACACAGCGCTGATGATCACTCCTCTTAAACAGTTTATTGACGCCTAAATTAACTGAAAATGCAGAAATCTGCCGGCAGAATATGCAGTTTGGATTATTTAGATGAAAAACACCTACCAGCTGCCGCGGTGAACTGCGAGGAGGCAACCCGGCCAGAGGCTGCTGATGACGGGATCCCTGCTGTCGGCGCATACCTAGTATGTGGGGGTCTGAGCGGCTCCGACAGAAAAAATATGGAAGGCGGGATAATAATCTGAATGAACTGACTGCACTGATTACGTTTTCAGGTGTATTTTCTCACTTAAAAACATATTAAAACTACTTTATTCCCACTGATCACAGCAAATATAGCTGCAAGGCAGAGAAAGGATAGTGAAGCTCCGTCCAACGCGCGTCAGACACACTTTTGCACCGCGCAGCCAGAGCAGCAAAGCTGCTTCAGCCACGCGTCAGAACTAACTGGTACAAGCAGCAAAAAGGAAGCAGCAGACGCGATTTTGCTGCTTTTGCTGCGTGAACGTAGCATAACTGCACAAAGATTGCCACTGTGCTAGCAACAAGAATGCTTTTAACTGGGGGGTGTAGCAGTTCTCGCCGTAAAGCAAGACTGACTCTCACGAGACTTCTGAGCCTGTGGGTGCGGGTCGGTGCTCCTGCAGTTGCAAGTGCAGTATTTCCCCCACAGACCACCAGGGCGGCCGAGAATACCTTTGTTCAACCTGAAATGACTCATTTAATCATCCATAACGTTATGGAACACATTAATTAACTGAAAAATGTTGCATAGTGTGCCTTTAAGGACACAATAATTTATGACAGTAAGGTACGTTCACATCAAACATGATTTGAAGCGAAGGATTTCCATTAAATCTCTGTAGAGGACGGCAATGCCGCATTTTTTAGTGAATTCTGCAATATTGATCACCGCCTTGCCTGTGAGTTAAGCGAGGCATATTCATAGGAGTTGAAAAATCGTAACTATGTTTTCATTCACGTTGCAAAATCTAATCTAGGATTACATGTGGCTGTGAGCTACAGTTAAGAAGGCAGCTGAGACACCATAATGGAAGAGAGAGAAAATAATGATGACAAAGGATAACGTAGGGAATGCTCTTAAGACGTTTTTAGATGACTTTTAAAAAAGTAGTTTTAATTAATCCCTTGAAGGACTGTTTCGTGGTCCTACCTACACACCTACCACTTGATGCCTTCTCTCCCTACCTCTGCCGCTCTGTCGACCCGGCTTTGCTCAGGCTTTGCTGATCCCCCACTTTAGTTCTTAAATCTCCCACAGATTGCTCAGGTACCCCGGCGGGTTTTTCCAATCTGCTCCCTTTTCTTGTGTTTTTGTATTTTCATCTTCCGTATGATAATTCCTGACATTTTGACTCAAATTAATTCATAATTTTTATAGTAATCATGCTAAACAACAAACCAAAAACACCCGAACATACACACCTTATTAACGGAGGTAATAAGAACAGTTGAGTGTGTCCCAGATGTATGAGAATGTTCTGATTAAATCTAAAGGCTCTTTCCAACTGAAAATGATGGGTTAATCTGCTGACAATTAGTATTTGGTTAACTTCCCATTGGCAAATAAAGCTGGGTTAGCATTGATGATGTAATCAATGGAGAGGAATATGGAAGCGGACGAAGGTGTAGTCGGTGTGCTTTATTGTTCCGCTCTTTTATCAGTCCGATTCCTTCTTACCAGTAATCCGACATGTTTATCGAATGTAAACAGAGTTATTTCAGCTTGCTAGATCAGATGCGACTGGCACTGTGGGTTGACGTCCATACAGTATGTTTTACTCCATGGTATCACTTAAATCAGCGGGTCGACCCGGCTCTGATGGTCACACTGTATGCGAATGGGAGCCGAGTCTTTTAAAGGTGATTCTAAGCAGGGTCGCCCTGACCAAATCGTTTGACCTGGGTCAACACGGGTCATTGAGCTGTTACCTCTAAAAGCCGATTGCGGGTTCAAACACGGTTTTTCAGCAGGTCGGAACGGGGTATAAGGGTTTAATAGATATTTACCACTTGTGCTTCTTTTTGAACATACTGAAACTTTACTACCATATTTGCACAGGTTTATTCTAACCTTTACTCTAATCCAATCAACTTTAGCTTCCCATCAGTGGTTGTTTATCACTTCTGCTTTTTCGTAAAAGTTCAAAAAATATCTGAAACCTGTTTAAGGTTGTTTTTTATGATAATTCTTTTAGTAATCATGCGAAACAACAAACCTAAAACACACGAACGAAAACATAACCATTTCGACTTTGTGTAAGAGTTTCTTTTGTATTTGGGTCTGAACCGTCTCTGTTCTATCAGGCTGCTGATAATTCTTTACCGGCAAAACTAAACTTCTGTTGCCCATAAAACATGACGTGTGAGTTTCTTCTTGTCTTTGTGAGTGACACACTGCTGCATTATGGGGCAGGAAGGCTAAAAAAAGAACAACAAAAGCTGTGGCCTTTAGTTTGCAACCATCTGGGGCCACTTAGAAACAAGCTGGTGGCAGACCTACCACCAACTCAAATACACTCATGTGAATTACAAACACTACTGCCCCTCTCTAGCAGCCCTCTCTTTGGTGAAAGGAACACATCTAGCTATTCATGTGTGTCTCACCGAGCTAGCCTCCCCTGTCTGAATATAGGTCACTGAGTTGAGTTTCTGGCCCAGGACCAGTTTTTTCACTCCCCCTTCAACCCTGACCACTCCCTTCCTCCTGTGTATAAGTTTCTCTCTGCTTTGCTCCCTTTATGAAACGTCGAAAGTGTTTCTCTCTTTCTGTGTGTCTTTTTCTCACTTTTTTGTTGCACAGCAGCAGTAAAATATGTAGGAAAAAAATCTGACGGTTGGATGAAGTCTGGGTGGAGTCAGTGTTTTAATTCAAACTGGATATAGGTCACTTTTAAATAGTTTGTGGTTCAGATACTTTCCCACAAATGACGACTTCATAAACATTTCCACTAACCTTATTCCTCATGGATTTTTTATAAATCTGTTCATGTCCAGGTTTCATTGTAGAGTTCCCATCAATGCATCCATTTATATCAGGATATATTTGCTTAATATTGTTGGTATATGTGTTTCAGGTCAGTTATGGGTGTCTGTGGGTGGAGGAAAAGTGATGGTCTTTGATGCATCCAGCTGGTCTCTCATCCAAACCTGTCAAGTTGGGAATGCAAGACTGGTAAGAGATGCCACCTGAAATCTGAAGGCAGTTATATTTTACATTGGCTACCATTTACAATCTCTTATACCTTTAAAAAAATAATTTTTAAGGTCATTTCAGCCACAAAAACACAGGAAAGTTTCGCCTACAAGGAATTCAGATGCAAAGACCATTTGAAAACAAAAGAATAGATTCTCCCCTGTCAATAATCTCATTCATTGGATTTTCACTTTCTTTGTTCTGCCAGAGGGTGTTAGCTTCCTGTCAGTCGAGGTTCTACAATGCAGGGACAGAAACAACTTCTGTCCGTTAGTAACCTTTAATATACGTTCACTCTACAATGTATCCACTCTAATAAATCTCTATATATTTATTTTTATAATAAATATCTACTTTTACTATAAACCATAAACTAAATTGGGGAAATAGAGAAAAAATTGCAATTTCCCCTTAAACAATCTTTTATATGCAAGATTTTTTTAGTTGTTGGTTCTTGTTTCAAAATCTGGATGTAGAATAGTTTTTTTCATTTATTATTCAAAGCTGCTAGAAACCTGCTTGATGATGGACTCTGTGAAACTGATCAGAGCGAAAGTAGATGGAAATAAAAACAAACGGGTGTTGTTAAAAATTTCGGCTCCTCTGCCTTCACACCCACCCATGACCTGCAGTGACATCCCGTTCTTAATCCTGTCATGTGATATCTGGACTCACATTTTAGCTTTTTCTAGTTTAAGCTAATCTTAGGAGTCTTTTCACAAGATTTAGAAGCCTGATAATGAAAACTTTTTTTTTTTCAGGTCCTTAAGAAGCTCAAATGTGAGGTCAGACACTGATGCTGGAAGAGAAGGATTGGCTTTTAGTCTTAACTCTATTTCGTTGTGAATCTTGCTTTGTGCACTTGTTTCCAGCTGCACAATATATATAGCTAATTTACTGCTTTTGCATTATCATTCTATGCAATAAGTGTATTTATAGACAGTTTTCTATAAAGGCTCTCTCTATAGTTATTGTACATTGCCTGTCCATAAACGTCACCCTCTTAGTTTTAAAACCAAACTGCTGTGTTGGTTTTTTTGTTTCAGCAGGCATCTATTCATTTAATCTTTTACTTTTAAAAGCATTAATGCCAAAATAAATATCCTCTGATTGTGAAATATGTTCATCCGATTTAGAAAGGATAAATGGCTGACACCCACCAACCAAAGAGAAGATGTAAGGAGAACGCTGAAATAATCAATATTAAACTATTCCAACCTTGAAAGATCTTCGAAAACCGTTATCTTTAGTCAAGTTGGTCCCATAAATGTTTAATGATTTTGATTGATGGTTATTTAAATGTTTGTTAAAATCAAATTGTAAGAAAATAGCAGCAGTTATGTTTTAACAGAAAAAGTAAGAGTATATCCATGCATAATATAAGGGACGGTTCATTAAACTGGGATTAGATGACTTTAGAAAACCAATGATCACTTCTTCTTAGGTCTTCTTAGAAATAACGTGTCTCATTAAATATGATAAATATTTAACTGGAGAAATAAAAAGTAATAAAATAGAGAGGAATCTCAATTTGGTGACTTGGATAAGAAAAGAAAGGAAAAACTTGGCAGCATAGTGTATATTTTTGTGAAGCTTCAGGCTTTAGGATTGGTTTTCCATCATACACATGCTGTTGAAATCAGAAACAGGTGATGCTGTTTTACATCTTCCTTTTTTTATTTAATTTTTCTGTTTGTTTTTTTTTTTTTTTTCATGCCAGGATTGTCTTCAGACTTGGCTGTTTTTTCTGTTGTTTTTTTTTTTTTTAAGTGAGGTAAATGTTTACAGAAGATGTATAGAAATACCTTAGGGCTGTGTTAGTCACCTACTCCCACTTCAAAAGCAAAAAGAAAATCATTGTGTGTTTTCTAAATAATTATGCCCTCTAGTGGAGAAAATATGTATTGATTGTGCAAAGGATTGTTTCCCTCTCATTGGATTCGATTTCAAAGAAATATATATTTTACTTCCATTTTTTTTTCAGAAATATATTAAATATGATTCAAACTAACCTGACAACACTATAGACACAAAAACCTTTTCAACTGAGCACATTTCTGGACAACATTTTCACTTAATTTCCCCTTAATTTGTATTGATGATACTGCAGAGTTATCCCTAAACCAATCGGCTGGGTTGCTGTTTTTGCAGAACTGCATGCTGGAAGTTGACAGAGACCAGGTCTGGATGGGATCTGAGGACTGTGTTATCTACATCATCAGTATGGTCTCCATGGTCTGTAATAGACAGCTGACTGAGCACAGGGCAGAGGTCACCGGACTTGCACTGGACACTGAAAAATACAGGTAACATCTTATATGACTTACAAATACAATTTTTACCTCAAGTTAAATGAGCCATAGACGTAAGGAAAATAACAGTCGTTTCTTCAATAAACAAAACTAAGCATATATAAAAGGTCTAAGTTATTGAGTTGTTTTTTAATACAGTTCCACCTAATTTAACATTTAAAGTCTTTTTTATTGTGGTTTAAACCTGCCTAAAGGTTCTTATTACAGTACTTGTCATCTATCATATGAGCCACAGCAAACTGCATATTTTATTTTCTTGAATATACATCTGAAAAATGTGGCATACATTTCAGCATTCTGTCCCCTTATCAAAAGCAAGAAGCTCACCATTACTGAAGATTTGCAGGAGTTTGTAATGTGACATATTTTGGTGAATTATTAATGACACAATTTGGATCTTTCAATTACTATCTGGACCTTTAAGCTCCAAGAAGTTCTGTTTGTGTCCTTTCATAGGGGACTATGAGTAATGCGTTTGCTGATTTTTTTTATTTTTTTGTTATTCTTCTCTTTAACTGTCCATCTTTCCAAAAGAATCTTTCATTCAAATTGTTAAATTTCCCCTTTTTGCTTTTTACAAATGGGCATTAAATATAATTGGACATTAAAACCTTGAAAATACATTTTTGAAACGTATTCTATTATTGATGTTTCCCCAGATAGTTTCACAGTTTAGAAAACCTCTTTGGGATTCAGAAGCTGATGCTTTGATGGTTTAAATGTTTAGATGTCCAACTTTAACTTGTAACACATGTTTTTACTAGTTAATACAGTGCAAAGGTAACGCATACGGAGTGAATAACTCTGGATAAAATGTGTGCTGTTATCTTCAGCCAGAAGGTGGCGTACTCCTGCAGTGCAGAGGGAGCGGTCATGGCGTGGGATGTCTCAACTCTACAGGTCAGGAAAAAATTAATCAAAGAAGAGATGTTAAAAAAATAATAATGGTCACGTTTTTCCTAGCTTTCCACAAACACTCATGTTGTGGATTTATCTTCCTTTAGGTGAAGAAACAATTTCGTCTTTCCTGTGATCGTCTGCAGTCTGTCAACAGCTGTGGTGGAGCTCTTTGGTGTTGTATGTTTCTTCCCTTATCAAAACATGCTAAAATGATGCGCAGTTTATTTATTTAGTTCTAAATAACTTACTGTAACTCATTTCCCCCCTTCCTAAAGGCTCTAGAGACAGTATAATGGAGGTCTGGAGGAACGGTTCAATAAAACAGCGTATACATCTGCCAGAGCATCACAGAGTCACCTATAGCTCCGCTCTGCTCCTACCTGAGGTAATTCATAGACGTGTTGTTTATCTTTCCTTTATTCGTGTATTTTTAGTGAGCAAACATTTAACTTCCTGTTCATTGTGTTTTCCTGCGTTTGCAATAGAGTGAAGAGCTTTGGAGCGTGTGCTTCGACTCTGCAGAGGTGTATATTTGGCACATTAAAAACGCCGTCAAACCTTTCCAGCGGGTGATGCTGCAGGACTGTAGTGGATGTTACTGCATGATTCAAGTCAAAAACCAGGTCAATATACAAACATATCCCACTTCATCCTGCACAAATGTAGCCAGTGGTAGAAATTCTATTGTTACTAATGATAATAAACAGAAAAATGTAAAGAAATATCCAAATAGATCATTGTATATTTTCAGCAATTCCCTCCATATTAAGATAGCATTCATTTGAAATGGAAAACAAACCATTTTGTGATTAATAGAATAGAATAAATTAGAATAGAATTGAATAGAATAGGGGATTATGGAAAATGGGGCATAATATTGTCAAAATGAGGGTGAAATTTCAGAACTCATCTAGGTCTGAAGAAAGATTCCTTTTTTTAGTAGAGGCTCTGTAACCTTTCTTTGAAAGGACACTGCTGTATAAAGGATGGTATCATCAGCATACCATGCTAATGGGGCTTCTGTCATTTATTTGAGAACAGAAAAAGAAAACCAGGTTAAACTAGATCAAAGGTCTGCAACCTTTTTAGCCCAAAAAAGCCACTTTTGGAATCGCTGCAACAAAACAAGATTAATCAGGAGCCATAATAAAGATGGTACAGACAGCTGAGGAAATTCAATCGAAATTATATAAATTCAGAAGAAAAATTAATGTCTGACCTTTACTACAAAATATGTCCATTGGTTTTGTTGAATTAGACAAACTACAGTAAGTGAGCCATAATTAACAAGAAACTAGCCCATCTTATAATATAAACCACATCGTATGAAAATATATAGAAGAGCCCTTCACCCCTCACAACCACATTGAAGAGGCCAAAGAGCTGCAGGTTGCTAAACCCTAAACTAGATCCTTGGGGAACAGCAATGAAAGTCTTGCTGAATTTATTTTCCACAAACAAAAATTCAGTCAGCTACACCATTTCTAGAACATGTTCCAATGGTCTAGGGCGGAGGGTAATTCTCAGAGGTACTGTATGGGGCTTGCAAAAGTTTTGGTTAATTAGACTTTTTTTTAAGACAATTTTTTATGTTTCCCCACTGCAATTTTTTCCACTAATTGAAATGTCTTTCAATACACATTAACATAAATTCAACACACTGTAGTAAACAGATAAATGGAGGCAGAAGATGTCTTTCAGTCATCAATGCTCACATTCAGCGACACACAGGAGCTCTTTCAAGCTGGGCACCGTTTCATTCACAACACCTGTCCCATCAACCAGGAATTAGAATCCAATTCAGAAATACTTTAATAATCCCAGGGCGAAATTACTTTCGTTACATGAATCCATCCATAGAGTGACTATAGGACCAGTTTGCTATAACATAATTTCATATAACATATATAATTAGGGGGTCCCCACTCCATCTCGCCATCAGTTTGGGGGTCCTTGGCTTGGAAAACTTTGAAGACCCATGGTTTAAGATATAGTGCAGGATTTTTTTACGAATTTTTGAAAAGACCTGCCCTCTCCACTTTAAAAGGAAATGGACATGCACAACCCTGTACCAGCTCCTGAGAGGTAACACCTGTTAAATGCATGTGAAAGCATGCACAAGCACATTTCTCCTCGTGCACGCTCTGTTGCTGTTTGCATCGTTCATACAAGCTTACTTTCTAAAAGAAGATTTGCAATTTACCACTATGTCAGACTTACCGCCGTGTTATGCCAAGAAATACCTGCCTGCTGAGAATTACCACTGCTCTCTCACATTGATGAGAAAATGGATTGAAATATGAACGAAAAGGGAACTTTTAAACAAATTCTTAATATTTTCATATTTCTTATACACGAATGCCCTAAAATTGACAGTTTTGTTTTGCAGATAAATGCAAAGAAATTCCTGCCTTCTAAGAATTACCTCCCCTGTCGCAGGAGCGTGCATCGCCCTAAACTCTTGCTCATTGATGAGAAAACGGATTGAAATGTGAATGAAAAAGAACTTTTAAATATTGTTAATGTTTTGTCAGCAATTAGATAGAATGGTGTTGATAACAAAAGCGGGAAATAATATCCACTGAGCAGAGACTATATTCATCGGACACTGACTACAGCACATAGACTAAAACAAGTCTCCATACAAGTAAAAATTGCATTCATTCGACTTTATCTGTCAATCAAAACTCTCAATTTTAGGGCATTCATGCATAAGAAATATGAAAACATTAAGAATATGTTTAAATCTTCCCTTTTCGTTCATATTTCAATCTGTTTCCTATCAGTGTGCAAGAGGGGAGGTAATTTCTTGGCATAGGATTAGGTGAAAAAGGGGACAAGCCTTACGTGTACATATCACCTGAATAATTGACAATTAGGACAACCACTTATTTAGATGATCCACCTGGGAAAAAGAAAAACTTTCACTATACCTTCAGCTTAAAAGGTAGACCTTTTGATGTGACAAACATATTCTGGAACCGTCCATCCATCCATCTTCTAACACGCTTAATCCCAAGTGGGGTCGCAAGGGGTGCTGGTGCCCATCTCCAGCTGCCTAGGGGCGAGAGGCGGGGTACACCCTGGACAGGTCGCCGGTCCATTGCAGGGAAAGACAGAGACAAAGAGGACAAACAACCATTCACACACTCACTCACTGTGGAAGGAAGCCGGAGAGAACCCACGCATGCTCAGGGAGAACATGCAAAGTCCATGCAGAAAGACCCTGGACCAGGAATCGAACCCAGAACCTTCTTGCTGCAAGGCAGTTCTGTCTATGTATTTGGATTTTTTTAAAGCACTTTGCAAATCAACAAATTATAAAATTCAGTACAAAAACATTGATTCTCACAGTATATACTCAGTTCAGCAGCAGTTTCTGAGCTACAAAATAACCTGCAGTCTGTCTAGAAATATAAGCCACTTCTTCTCTCTGTCTCTCTGACCAGGTTTGGGTTGGAGGTATAGGACGCAGTTCTACCAAAGGGAAAATCTACATCCTGGACACGGAGCGTTATGAAGTCCTGAAGGAGCTCCATGGCCACATCGACAAGGTGACGGCGCTCTGCTCGGCTGAAGACCGGTACGTCCTCAGTGGATCCGGTAAACAGGACGGCAAGATCGCCATCTGGAAGGTGGAGGAAAGGGTCCCGGATTCAAGCAATTGTTAGAGCGGCTCTAAATTCTTTTAAAACTCATCTTGAACTATGAAGGAGGAAAACAAATGAAGGAAATTTCAATAAAAGTTGATAAACTGCCTGTAAATGAAGGAATCCTATGTGAAGCAATGAGGTTACATGAAGTATCAGCATGTTTGAAGCTATTCAATTAAAAAATACTTTATTAATCCCAAAGGGAAATTAAATGTTGCAGTGACCCATAGGTTACTTTTTATCCAGGTGTTGTAAACTGTTGGCAGGAAGGATCTTATAGAGGTCTGTCTGGCAGTGGATCTGGAGATGCCTCTGACCGAAGAAACTCGGTTGTTTAAAAATCTTCTGAAGAGGATGCTCTGTTTTCCATAATTTCCAGCACTTGATGAAGAATTCTTCTTTTAGAAATCTCTAGAGGTTCTAGAGGAGTTCCTAGAACAGAGCTGGCCTTCTTTATTGACCTGTTTAGCTTTTTTAAGCTCTAATACTGTTACCCCAGCAGAGGAAGAGATCACACTCTCCACAACAGACTTATAGAAGATATGTAGCATCTTGCTGCAAACGCCAAAGGACCTAAGCTTCCTTACGAAGTGCAATCTGCTCTGTCCCTTCTTGTAGATGGCCTCATAGTTGCATCTCCAGTCTAGTTTGTTGTCCAGGTGAACACCAAGGTATTTATATACCACTTCAGGGTTCAAATTTTTCACATTTCTTCTGAAATCTACAATCATCTCCCTTGTTTTGTTGACATTTAGAACTCAAGAGTTTTTCCACACCATACCACAAAGCAGTTCACCAGCTCTCTGAACTCAGCTTCATGCCCATATTTGATGCATCCAATGACTGTAAAGTATTTCTGCAGATGAAAGAACTCTGTCTTGTACTAAAAGCCAGAGGTGTGCAGAGTAAAAAGGAATGGTGAGAGTACTGTCCCCTGTGGTGCTCATGTGCTGCTGACTACTTTATTGGACAGCTGAGCCTTTCAGTCTAACAAACTGTGGTCTGTTTGTCAGGCAGTCTTTGATCCAGGCGATTGCTGATGCCTCCGCCTGAGTTTTCTGGAGTTTACCACAAAGTAAGTCAGGCTGAATTGTACTAAATGCATTGGAGAAATCGAAGAACATGATCCTGACAGGGCTGACAGTGGGTTTGTTGAAGCTGGTGTATGATGGCATCTCAAACTCCACTGCGATAAATATCCAAAAAGGAAAAGAATGTTGGTGAAAATCCCTCCAGTTTCATAGCATTCAGCATCACAGACTTAAAACATCGGGAAAAAGAAACTGATCCATTATTGGAGGAATTAAATTTCTCTTAAAATAGAAAAATCAGAGGCAAGTTAACAGAGATGCTATTGTGCCTTTCAAGACTTCTGTTAGATATGCTAACAAAACTGACACTTTTAGGCTTAAAATGAAGGATAAACGACTGAATCAATGCTGTCTGCCGATGGTGTTTCCCGCTAAGTATCCAGACTTTACGTTTGTGTTGATTCTGTTATGCTACAGGAAATCTGAGAACAGTATGTGACTTGGCTTCACCTCATGCTGTTTGCTTGACGTGTAAATCTGCAGCTTAGAGGAGTCGCACTACCATGAAAACACAGCAGAAGTTGTAGATTTCAGCAGCACTGCAGGAAATCCCCAGAAGAGGTTTGTTCTGACGGAAGCTGTGATTTAATAGGAGGATGCATGGTGATGGGAACTGGAGTCGTCAGATAGACATACGTTAGAGCATCTCGAGAACTCGTGTTTCCTCCTGCCACAGAGCCTTGGAAAAATATTCCTACACCTTGAACCCTTTTATATTTTGCCAAGTTACAGCCTCAAACATTGATGTGTTTTATGAAAGAAGAATTATCTCTATTTGAGAAATATCTCAAACCTTATCTGTTTGAGGAAGAAGCATCTTTGAGCTGGAATTGTAGGTCTTAACATTGACTAGGCTGTTATAAAGCTCTATTGTATGTTCAAGGCTTCATCCATCTTCCTATCAGCTCTTACCACCTTCCCACTCCCTGCTGAAGATGAGTTCAGGTGGTCAATAAAATCTTTTTACATTTATTTTATATAGGAATAAAATCTAAACCCACTTTACAGCTATTTACTGCTATTTCAAATTGCTTTATCTTATAAAATGAAAATACGTGCTTCCATATTCCATATTATTTTGGGGTGCAATATTTTTAATAAGTTACAGTAGTGTCATTATGTTGCAGGCCTGTACAACTTAAATCATTTAGATACATTTTAGATATATTTATTTTTCCATAAGACGTTTTACCCGTTGGACCAGTCTTAGTTCTTTCTTAAAAGGGAAAATAAATGGTTGCACTCACAAGGTTAACCTTCAGCTGTTTATTTGTTTGATAGCATGACTGTAAATTGCTCCACATGTATGAAGATATTTATATTCCTATGTCACTTAATCCTGCCCAGTGCCTGAGATCAAAGTTCCTCTTCATTATTTTGTATGTGTGTTCTATGTAATTGAGGAAGTTCTATTTATATGCATTTTTACTTTTTCACCAACTTTTAAAGACTATATCTGAAAATGTTATGACCAAGAGTATTACTATCAATTATTACACATTTTTGAACAGTAGTAAAATACTTTTTGAAATAAAATGTTGACTTGCCTGTGATTATTTACCTGATTTTGGGGATTATTTTGCACTAGCCAAACCCCACCAGGGGTCTGCGACTTCCAGAGCTGCAATGGGATCTTCAGATCTTCTACAAGGGCTTTTGATTTTTAAAAGGATTTTAAATATAGATATAATAAAACTTGCAGTTTTTGGTAGTTTAAGATAAATATCAGATTAATACTATTAACTTAGGTTTAAGTGTGGGTGGTTAAAATATATATATATATATATATATATATATATATATATATATATATATATATATATGAACATATAACTGTGGTAAACCCAAAATGAAATAGTAATCAAATTGAGAAAACATAACTAAAATGGGAAATGTATAAAAGTATGATAAAGTTAGTGCTGTGTTTAAAACTGTTTTAAGAGACATACCTGTTATGGAAATTGCTGGAGCTTAAACAGTTCTAAGTTTAGCAGGTATTTAAATAATTTCTGTTAACTACAGTATGAAGGATTACCTCATTGGCAGCAGAAATAATTGTCCGTTTCCTGCATTAATTAAGAAAGAGTTTATTTAAACACTTTGTTAGAATACTGTGAAAATCTAGTAATTTCATTTAAGGGCACGGCTGCACACTATCACCTCTCAATCCAATAAATGGACAACTGCACTTTTTCTCCCTAATTTTATCATGAACTACTTGATTATAAATATACAGAAACTATATCCAACTGATGTTAACACTGCTGTAAGATACTGTCTTGCTAAAATTAATTTTCTCCTTTATCTTTATAAAAAGTTTTCCAGGTGGGAATCTCATTTTAAGTGTCTTATTGTACTATCTTATTTCTGTCAGTAGATGGCGCAGTTTCACACCAGAAATAACCTAAAATTGACAAAATGACTAACTCCAAAACTTCTCAGATATAAATCCACATAAAAAAACAAGAAAACAAAAAAACTGTGTAAATAACTTCTGAATAACCATCTCTGAAATATAAACACATTCTTATTCAATTAGGTAAACACATTTGACATTATTTATGGTTTAGAGAGTATAAATTAAAGTGAAATCTGCAGGAACTTAATGCTGTTCAGCTCTGTGTTGCAGGCTGCACAATGGAAGGCAAAACAAAGTCAGACAGAGCCCAGCCTGCTCAAGTGTCCTTGAGCAAAACACTAAATCCCTGCATGGCTGCTGATTCTCTGTGGGGGGCCAATGGTGGTGTTTTTCACCTCCAGGCCTCTGGAATTTACAACATTCTGCACTATATGTGACTCCTGGACATTGTTTGGTAACATAAAGACATAAGCAGCTTTTCATCTCCCTGCATGCTCCACTTGTTCCTTCGTCAGGGATAGGATGGTTTCTGTGTCACCTGCTGAGTTTTTAATCAGTTTCCCTTAATCCATAAAGCTTTACTTGGTAATATCGACTTTCAGGTATTAGAGGTCTCAAAATATAGTCGACTGATTAGGCTGCAGCTTCCCTTTGAAAAACTTTGGTTGATCTGTAAAAGACACAAAGATTTCCAGGACAAACTCACTGCTATTCTTTATATTAGAATTACATGCTTGTTGCCTAAAAAAAAGAATAACTCAGAAGAATGTGTCCCCTTTGATATGAAGTTCAAAGAGCCTTATAATTATACCGGAAATGTTAAAAAAATATATCATCCTGATTAAAGGTCTTACCATGAGCTCAATTCAGATTTCTACCAAAGTCCATCTTTGTATTTATGAATTTATTTTAGGGGTGAAACATTTAGATTAATTGTTATTAATCCATTATTAAAATAATCGTAATTGCTTAATCGTTATTCAATTAAAGATTTACGAGACTGTGGAGACTCTAAAATGTGCCTTTGAATGACAGAGCAACCCATCTTGAGCAGCAATTGTACAAAAATTGTACAAAAAAATATGTTAATATTTTACATTTAAGATAAAAAAAATTCATCTGTCAGTATTTTCTATCCACAACTCCTCAAGTGGAAAAGTTATAGTTTCACCTGGTTTAATTTAGAAAAAAAATCTTCTTTAAATAACCTTTTGTTATCTGACTATTAATCATTTAATTGAAAATAAAAAATCAACAGATTAATCGATTTGCAAAATAATTGTTGGTTGCAGCCCTAAGTTTTTATTTATTTATTTTTTTTTATACTTCCTGCACTTTGACAAAAATTCCCAGGGCTTTTGGAACAAACAGGCCCACAGCATGACAGATTCCCCATCATACTTGTTATTAAAAACGTAACCTGGCCAAAGATTTCAGTTAGAAATTACATTTGTCAAGGTCAACATTTTTAGGTCTGACGTTCAGGCTTTTCTCTGGCATTCCTCCCAAACAATCGTTAGTACACACAATAAATGGTGTCTAATAATAGGAAGACCTGGTGACCACAAGTGGCCAGTCTTTGCTGTAGTCCTCCAACAGTAAATTTGCAGACTTCTTTTTCTTATCCCTGCAACCATTGATTCTTGAGAAAGATAAATATAGTTCTTCATTCAGCCTGGTGCTCAGCGGGCAAAACAAACTAAATGAAAAAAAAAAACAAACTCTGTGTTCTCCCAGACATAGCCCTGGGAAACAGACAATCCTGAATTAATAGTTAAAAGTTCCAGGAATATCTAATTAACATCAAACTGTGAAGTATAAATGCTATGAAATGTTCCACTTTGACTTTTTTAAATTAGTAACTATGTCAGTTATTGCTAAAAAAAGTTTTTTACATCAATTATTTCTTAACATTTACTGTTTTTTTCTATTGGTTTGTCGGAAATGATGTAACTGCTATGAAAGATATAATCATGGCAACATTTATATTGTAAACATTTACTAAAGGTGTTTCCTTCAGCATGAAGGGAGAAAGAAACTCTTGTTAGTTTAGTTCTTTTTAAAAAACAAAACTTATATTTACCTCATGTGAACTTTGTGAATATGACTGAGTTAGTGTTACTGCAGAAAAATAAAGAATGTGTTGATTATCAGAAATAAAAAGGATCCCTCAAAGCAAATGGCCAAGTGTTTTCCTTGTAAAAAAAAAATGTCTGTTTAAGTCCATATTTCAAGTAGGGACCATTCTAACCTTTAAGAGTTGTAGCTCTATACTTTTTTCCCTCTCACTCATACTCTTTTCTTTTTTCAAGCTTGTTCAAAAACATGTAAATTTCAGGGGTAAAAAAAAAAACAACTCTTCATACTAATGCAGGTTACTAATAACTATTTTTGGCCAACCCTGCTAAGTTTTGGTATTTTAGCAGCCCCCAGCTAGCTTAAATTTATTAGATTGAAAAATAAACTGTCCTGTTTGTTTTTTCCGGTCCATCCTGCAATAGTAGGAATCACCTTACTGATGCAGTTTGCTGTTAGATTAACATAGTAAATTAGATTTACTGTTTTGTTATGTACAAATATGTGTTTAATTTCATTGCAGTCTATTTGTTTATTTTTCCTCTTTTTCATTTAAATTTGTGTTTATGTTTACTGTTGTAATATACGAAAATATAGTTAATTTAAGCACAATTTTTTAAACATCCATCCACTTTCTGACACGCTTAATCCCAAGTGGGATCTCCAGCTGTATATATATTCAATTCAATTCAATTCAGTTTATTTATATAGCGCCAAATTCACAACACACACACACACACACACATATATATATATATATATATATATATATATATATTCCATTTTTTCATTAAAATTAGTTTTTGTTTTTTTTTACTGTTGTAATATACAAAAATGTACTTAATTTAAGTTATTTTTTGAATATATATGTATATTCCATTCTGAGTGTTATCAAAAATGACATAAATAAATAAAAGCGTCAGTCGACCAACCAAAACGTCGCGGGGACGTCATACAATAAGCTCCGCCTCCTTATGCAAAGCACTCCGTGTCGTCGACGGAAGCCAGGCGCTGCGTCTAGTCCTCCGACAGATATTCCTTTAAAGGCGCATTTAAAGCTGTGGCTTTAGTCGTAGCAGCAGTGGACAGCCTGTGCAGAAACAAGCTTCTGCTGCAGAGTCGGAGAAGCGACGGTCCGACATCCCGGAGGACAACAAAACGGAGCCAGGTGCCTGTCAGCGACCCGGCGAGGTGAGCGCGGTGTCCGGTTAAAAACAGCAACAACAACAGCGGTGAGGGGACGGAGTTAAAGCCCCGCTGCTCCTGCTGCTGCTGCTGGTTGGCTCCGACAGCCAGGATACACAGCAGCATCTCAGGTTGCTGCTGGAGGAGGGGAAGGAAGAGTTCATAGGATATGTCAGGTTGCATAATTAAAACCCGCATTTATTAGAAAGAAATGCATTATTAGAATATGATGAAAACTATTTTTTTTTGTTAAAGGGGTGGTCCCATGACTGTTTGCACAAATGCTTCGTTTATTTCACTGCAGCTTCTTTTGTTATTAACCAGGAAGACGCGGTTTAACCCAGCAGAGACTGGCTGAAGATGAAAAGTCTATTTGCTGTGAATGAGGGATTTCCTGCATGACAAGAGCTTATTTTATCTAAAGATATCTGGAGATGGTTCCATGAAGTTTGCTTCAATTCTGCCAACAGATTTTGCATGGAAATCTGTGATCTTATGTATCTTATGTTATGCCTCTATTGATAACAGCAAACTTCCTTATGTATTGTGAGAAAATGCTCACTTGATTTTTTTTTTATTTTTTATTTTTTACTGAGCTTAGTTAAAAAATACAGAATGCACCTTTTGTAGACCTTTTTTTTGTTTTAGGTACGCTAAACTAAATGCGTTGTGTTTTTTTTTTTTTTTTTTGGTTTTATTAAATGGATCAACAAAGTTGAGGATGATCATTAGTTGGAAGATAACCATTAATCCAAGATGTGGGGCATGTTTACTCAGCTTAAGTCTTTTATCGTTTTATTTTTGAACATTCTTCTTTACAAAGCCTTCCATGTTTCTTCCAACTGAATGGAGAGTCTCTATGAACACTAATTTCAAAGCCCTACTTTATGTTAGATTTAGGTCTTTACTTTGAGTAGGCCATTCTTACAAACTATGGGGTTTTAGTGTTTGGAGTTCCACTGTATTGCTGGCTCTATGGTTTGGGTTATTCTGCTAGATGGGGAACCTCCACCTTTGTCTAAAGTATTTTGGAGCCTCTAATGGGTTCCTATCTATCCATCACTCACCATTGCGATGATGCTCAGTGTTAGTATTTTGTCTGAAGGCCCAATTTAGTGGTCTCTTTCAAAAGCATCCTCTTTCTTAAGTTTTTTTTTTACGTCCAATGACTTGTCTTTTTTCCACTTTTCCAGATAGGGAAATATTGTAAAGGGCCTGAATTATGTGTGATGATCTCCCCCACCTGAGCTATTGAATCCTGCAGCTCCTCCAGTGCTACCTTTATACCAGGTTTCCTCAGGTGTAGTGTCCTGCACATTGAACCAAATTGCTGAATCTCCTCCTAAAAATGCAGTCAAGTCATCTAAAAGGTGCACTGACCCTTGAGGAAGCCTACTTTGGATTTTTGATGCTCCTCCTTTTCAGTCATTATAATTATCTACAATTGCTTTTTTTTTTCATTCGCTGAATACAAAAGCATACTGCACTATTCAGATTTTAATTTTTCCTATAAGTTCAACCCTATGTCATTATGTTTTTCCTGTCATAAGGAAAAAATTCCCCACTAAACGCCTACTGTACGTCCACAGGTGTCTACATAACCCTTTAAATCCAAAGAGCCATTTCGATCCGAGTCCGGCTGATTGTTTAGAGACGCAAATTTTTACATAAACTTATATTAAAACACAACTTATAATTGCTATTTCATATCTGCCATAAAGTTGTCTCATATAGTCTCATAAATAAGAGGCATGGATTTACTTTGATAGGGTATTATTTGATGTAAAAGTACAATAAAATGTATAATTTGCGACATAATACGAAGACATATACCTCTAAAAGCTTTGAAAAACATATTTCAATATTTTTATGCCATTCTGTTGTAAAGAATATTCTTTAAAAAAAACACTTAAGCTTCTAAAAGTGGTATTTGTTATTATACTACATTAGCTGGTTCTTTATATTATTTTTTATCTATTATTAAAGTCATTGTAGAGGGTCTAAAGAGCCAGAAGCGGCTCTAGAACCCCGGTTGTGGACCCCTGACCTATTTGTTTTGGCTGTATTCTATTAAATGTTTTTTTTTATGAATTAAATCCTGCTGTGAGGGAGGAAAGATACAAAAATCCATAAATTCTTTTGTTTTGTTCTATTTTTCCCCTGTATTTTCTCACAGAGAGCAGGTTCAGAGGTGTGTGTTTGGTGCCATGTTGATGCGAAGTCTCACCTTTTTTGCTTTTGTCGTTTTGCTTTTGATTTAGGCTCCACTGCAGGGCTTTACTGATACAGCCTGGACCAAAGGACCAACATCTCGGGGACATTAATGAAGCTTTCAATGCCTTTTGGTGAGTCTTTCTTTAGATTACTATCACACATTAATATGACCCACTTTACTAAGTGTTGTTATAAGTTGGTAATGTAAATCTAGACAATGCCGTGCAGCATTGCTTCATTGTGACATGTCATCGCCTTTTATTATGGAGCCACCTGACTGGTTCTACAGAAGGAAAAAACACACACTGTGGAAACTCCTTGCTTTTAAATCTGTCAAGACTCCAAGTTTCGTTGCATTGCAGTTCAGGTCTTGCTTTGTGTGTGTGTGTGTGTCAGTGTGTCAGCAAGAAGCTGATTTATGCTGAAGTGAAAGCGGTCGACTTCCTCTTGATGAGGTCTTTGCTGACTGCCGACTGCTGCTGCGTCAGCATTAGGTTATTACCGACTCATAACAGGCAACCAGTGGTCACAAGCTGGAAATGTCACATGAACACACAACACATACATGTTTATGTAGTGTGGATGCACACCATGACTTTTATAAGCCAAAACATGTTGAAATTTGTCAGTTAGGAAACAGAGCCACTTGTATTGTCTTAGATATAGAATCAGACCTAAATATCAGCTCATTTGTCGTCATTTGAAACTATATTTTCACATTATTGCAGCAGGTTTATTAAACATGGAGCCACCCGTATTCTGTTGAGTTTACTTGCTTTGAATGTAAAGGCTGATTAAAATCTATTATTTAGACTGAAGTGAAAAAAATGCTGCAGTCTGGGTCATCACACTCGCTGTAACCCTAGATTTGTTTCCGCACCATGTGAAAATGTTCTGGGTTTTGCTGAAAGCTTACTCAGCGTTCTGATTCCTTAAAACAGACATATGGTGTAATGGGAAATTTTAGACTTTTCTGGTCAGGGGCCTTTTAATCGGGGGATGGGTCACATACTGTCTGCTCTTCATTTTTGGTGTTGTTTTGTAAAACCTAGAAGTTCAATTTTATACTGGAAAAAGCATTTTTAAGAAGTCCCAAGGTTGATTTAAGTGTTTCATTTAATCATCAAGTTGCACAAATTAGAATGGCAGAAATAAATTTCTTAAATAGAAACCAACAAAAATTTGATGGGATTTTTTTTATATATATATATTCTGGTGGCATAAAAATGATCATATTTCACAAATATTCCAGCAATGGAAACACTTTTTCTGCATCACAAGAGTCACATGATCAGAAGCTGGACCTTACTGCTTTGTAAAAAGATGAAAGAAGACCAGAAGTAGTTTGTGGATGATGGCGCGGCATATTTGGACTCTTTAAGAGACTTCGTATATATTGTATTGTATTTAGTTTGCAACGATGAGCGCAATGAGTACTAGAGCTGTGGCTGAAATATGGATATATTTCATGTTTACATCCACCGCTGCCATGTTGTTTTCTAGAGTGATCAAATAAACAAATGTATTGTACAATTTTATTGTTTTCTATTTAAATGCAGTTTTCTTTTTGAATTTAGCAGAATATCGACATAATTCTTGTGCACATTTGTAATGGAAACACAGTTAATATGAAGGCATGAGATCGTATCTAAAGAAATGTAAGAAATCCAGAAATTTAGCTGCCAAAATCTCCCCCAAAAACTCTAGAAATAATTAACTGTGCTTAATCACATAGAAAACAGGTCAAAATATTCTGTAGTTGAATACAGGTGAGTATGGAACCCCTGTTTCTTGCATGAAACGTCACTAAATTCATGTGACCATCATCAACATTAGTACGTTTTGTTCTAAGACACCGAGGTATCGTGTTCAGTCATCTATCCCAGTCCATGTTTATCTGAGTTTCTTTTTTTATTATTTATGTACATCAGTGAACAGGCAAAAAGGCTTTGGTTTTGCATTCGGATCACCCTACTGGTCATCATCTTGACTTTACCAGGCTAAAAGGCCTTTTTACATTTGAGTAAATTTCCACCACAGGACCGCAGAATTACAATAACCCAATATTTCTATCTTGGTCTGATTTTCCTGGCATTTGCATCCATTAGCTAAAACCACAGTTTGCCCAGACAAACAAATAATGCCATGGTATCAGTCAGAAGAAGAGAAACAGAAAATCCATCCATCCATCCATTCTCCATCCCAGCTGGGGTTGCGAGTGGTGCTGGTGCCTATCGTCAGCTGTCTATGGGCGAGAGGCGGGGTACACCCTGGACAGGTCGCCAGTCCATCGCAGGGAAACACAGAGACAAACAGAACAAACAACCATTGCAAACTCCATGCAGAAAGCCCCAGGGTGGGGCGTCGAACCCAGAACCTCGTTGCTGCAAAGCAGCAGCGCTACCCACTGCGCCGCTAAGCAGCCCATAACAGAGAAAATCATCAACATTTTATTTGTAAATTGAATTAAGGAATTAATTGTCCATTAGTTCCTGGAAATACACTCAATTTACAAATAAAATGTTCTTTAAAGATGCAGACTGAAGCTCCAAACCATCCATCCATTTTCTGTCACACTTATCCCAGCTGGGGTCGCGAGGGGTGCTGGTGCCTATCTGGACAGGTAGCTGCAAACCAGAGATCTATAACTATTTTGTGTCATTAATTCTGTTTTAATCAGTCTTTAAATGTGAAGCAAAACAACACATTTCTAAATTTTCCCAAAGTATTGCTAAAATCTAATATCTGGTATCCTTGTAATTCTGTGACTTGAATGTTAGACCTCTTAAAGCACATTTTTTGGAGACATGTTCTGTTTTCTTATTTATGATGCAAACTGGTTAAATGGAACAAGTGTGTTCCATTAAGTTACTTTAAGGATTTTTGTATGTGTTAGACTGACCATCTTGGGCTGAAAGCTTGATAATTAACACACAGGAAGTAATTATAAGATGAACTGTTCAATTATACCAAATGAATGTAAAAAGTAAAGATCTGTAAGCAATAAGTTGCACTGTTCACTTTTTAGTGCCGTCATTTATTTGAGTTTTAAATTTTCCTGATATATCCTCAAGAAAAATGAAAAGGCAGCAGACGTAGTGAAAGTCAAAGGGAGTTACTTTTTATTCACTCTTACTTTAATGCCCAAGGCAAACCATGAACAAACAGCATAAAAAGCTTATGCAAATGCATCCTGGCTGCAGGTACATTTAGATTCTGCAGCAAAGAATCCACGTATTGCTCTATCAGAGAGCTGTTTTCTTCCTATATGTATGTAAACTTATGATCACATGTAAAGTTTCTCTCCTTAAACATCTACAGTCAATATGTTTCTGTCCTTCTGGTTCATTTCCAATATAACAAGTTCATACTAACAAGGTTATACTCAATACGTAATCAGCTAATGGCTAAATGAGCCCCTTTTTGGACGAGATGGCCACAAAGAAAGCTGACTGGATGCCAGGGTTGTGTGGCAGCAGATCTGGTTTTGTGCAATGCATCTTGGCTCGCTGTTCTTCATTTGGACAAAGCATGCACACCACACCCTCTGCCTGCAGACTTATCTCTCCAATGTATGCTGTTTACTGTCTCAGTTAAAGTTTCAAAATATATAGATGGATAGATATTACCTTAAAAATGTCTAAGCCTGTTTGCTTGAGAATGCAGTTAAACTTGTATTGATGTTTGAGATGGAAGATATTCTATGTTGCTTTCATTTCTGCCCATGAACACTTTGCCGTCGTTTTATATTGTAGATACACAACTCTGATAAATCTAAAGTAGTATACAGAAATAAACCCTTTGAAGAAGGGCTGGGCAATGAATTGATTTTTAATGATTGATCACATTTTCCGATTATGAAGATTTAACGTTTGCAAAGATTTTATTTTTTTCCACCAATGCACTCTTTTAGCTCAGTGACATCAGGTTATCACTCACAACTGAAAAGCTGGCTCACAGCCTAATACTAATAACAGTAATATATTTAGTGTGTGCAAGATAAGTTTGTCATTTTTTATCATGAAATATAAAGGAGAGAAAAAAATTGATTAATTGATTTGTTAGGAATAAAACGGAGGCTTACTTTTTTTTTGTTTTACCCAAATCGCCCAGACCTACTTACTTACTTCCAAAAATGTCCTTAAATAAAGAGTTTGCATATTTTGCGTTTGCAGGATGAAAAACGTTACAAAGGGGGTGTTTAGTTGAAGAAAACCAAGAGACCACAATTCCAATTTTGAGAATATTGGAGTTTTCCCTTAAAAACCAAACAGTGCGCTGATTGTCTCAGCTCTGTATGTGAACAGAGTTTCTACAGACGACACCATCTGAATGGGTCTGCACTCAGAGAGAGAGAGAGAGGGGTGCTCTGTTGTCTTGGTGGGGGAAAAAATGAGGAGAGAGGATACCTGGCCTGGTGCCAGCAGTGTCATTAACACTGTAATGAGACACTCAGAGTGATCGCTGCTCACTTGTTTGGGTTTCTCGCAGTGGTCTTCTTTCTTTCTTCCATTTCTGATCCGTGTCAGTGATGGATGTTAAGGTTACAAAAAAATCATGCTGGATGAAAACGCACATAGACGGCTTTAAAATGCTGCTCCACTGCTGTTTGATATTTGGTGTTGAACGTCACCTGACATGCTAGAGTGTACGGTTGAAACCAGATATTGTCATACTGGGTAATGTGAAGACTCTTAACCTTTTTTTTCCCACACTGTCAGACATTAAAATATGTCAAACATGTCAAACTTTTCCTGTTTAATGCTATCAGAATTTCAAAAATCCTTTCTGTTGACTAAATGCCAGAATAATGAGATGCATGAAGTTTTAAGCCTTGTAGACGAGATGATTTCACGGTTTTATAAACCTCTGATGGGTTCAAATAAATGGAGACATCTATGTTGTTGTTGTTGTTTTAAGGCAACACTCTTTGTGATATTATGAGGATTAAAGGAAGTAGGTCAAGATATCATAAAGACAACATGGACTTCCGCTAGTCTGCTCCTTCCTCGTTTCAGTGTTCAGATGCCTGGTGGTGCCATGATCGCTGTATGAACAGTTATGGTATGAGATGTTAATATCCATTGCAGGAAAATATACCGCTAGTAAGAAAGTTACAGTAAAACAAGTT